GAGGGTAAGTGTGATGAAATATTAAAATGATGAAATATCGTCTTGGTAAAATCAAGGACTCTTGGCTGACTTCCTTTCATTGTGGAAGGATGATATATTTGCACAATGTGTTTTGAGAGGCAGATACCATTTCCTGGAGAATTTTCCCTGTAAAAGGAACCCTACTTCATCCTCGTTTTCTCAGATGTTATCCCCACTGAGTTAAATGAGGCTCAGGCTCTGTAAACACTGTACTTTTAAATAACATTCCCCCCTTCCCAAAGAATCATGGGAACTATAGTTTACCCCTCACAGAGCTACAGGAACCCTTAGCAAACTACAGTTCGCATGATTATTTGGAGGGAAATGTGCCTTAAATGTAGTGTATGTAAGCAGCCTCAATTACAGCACACATTTAAAGCATGTCCTGTCTCAACCAAGAATCCAGGGAACTGTAGTTTGATGGGGGGTCTCCTATCAATTCTCCTCACTCATAGCAAACTACAGTTCCCAGGATTCTGACAGCAGGGGTGTGCTTTAATTGTATAGCATGTTCACAGCCTGTTGTTGTTGTTGTTTAGTTGTTTAGTCGTGTCCGACTCTTCGTGACCCTATGGACCAGAGCACGCCAGGCACTCCTGTCTTCCGCTGCCTCCCACAGTTTGGTCAGACTCATGCTGGTAGCTTCGAGAACACTGTCCATCCATCTCGTCCTCTGTCATCCCCTTCTCCTTGTGCCCTCCATCTTTCCCAACATCAGGGTCTTTTCCAGGGAGTCTTCTCTTCTCATGAGGTGGCCAAAGTATTGGAGCCTCAGCTTCAGGATCTGTCCTTCCAGTGAGCACTCAGGGCTGATTTCCTTCAGAATGGATAGGTTTGATCTTCTTGCAGTCCATGGGACTCTCAAGAGTCTCCTCCAGCACCATAATTCAAAAGCATCAATTTTTCAGCAATCAGCCTTCTTTATGGTCCAGCTCTCACTTCCATACATCACTACTGGGAAAACCATAGCTTTAACTATACGGACCTTTGATGGCAAGGTGATGTCTCTGCTTTTTAAGATGCTGTCTAGGTTTGTCATTGTACACAGCCTAAGCGGGATTTATTTCATGTAAACATGATTGGTTTATATAAACCTGCCCCTCATGATCATAGACAAGGGAAGTTTTGTTCTCTTTGGTATTCAGAGATGGGAGGAATGCATCGACTCCCCTGCTTAAATATACAGTGGTCTGCCCAAGAGGTACTGAATAGGAATGCATGATGGAATCATCCTGGAATTTCATGCATTTGTCCCAGAACCTTTTGATCTTGGGCTAATAAAGTTGACTCTGCAATCTTTGAAGCTATCATGTGAGTCTAATTGTGTAAGATCGTTAACAGATGGTGGCTGACAAGATAGAGCTAAAAGCCTTAGGATGCCATTGAGATGGGGGAGTGAGAGGATACAGCCAGCCAGAGTAGAGGTCAGTTTGCACCTCCAGTGATACAGGCCTCACATCTCCTGATTTCCTCACCTCAACATCTGTCTTGGTAAATCTTGAGTCAGTATAAAACATATTTTCTCCTTGGCTTAAAGCTGGAAGAAGCAGCTTACCTGCTATGTGTTAATTCATTTAGTTTTTAGGAAACCCTATTGAATATTGTTGTATTTCTATTGTTTTGATGTAAACCATTTGCAGATTTTTATTATATTAAGCAGTATAACAAATAATACAAATAGACGAATAGTTAAAACACAAAGACTGCTGCTGTGCAGAAAGGTTAGGGCACAACCAGGTGGGTGATCTCCAAATTGGGCCAGCTCTAGCAATGTAAATTTCATGGAAAATTTGACCATTTAAAACATCTGAACAAGAAAAAGATTAATTTTTGGAAAACTGAAATACAGTCAGTACTTCCTTTCTTATCAGATATATTTTGCGGCTTTAACAACATAAAACATATCATTTTTAATTTAGGGTTGGCTTACAAGATAGCCCCCTGCTGTCTTAATTTGACCAGTGGCAAATGGGTGCCATTGACCTGGGGTTGAGCTCCAAGTGGTGTTCAGCCATTAAGACTGATGTTCCAGTTGCAACCCCTTGTGGACACTGCAATGTGGAAGAGAAGAAAGCCTAACCCTGCTAAATCAAAAACCTTAGCAGAAAAAGCTGGAACTGCAGCTTTCCAGTAAGAAATGAGCTTCTCTCACACTGAGAGCAAACATTCCTTGGGTGGGTCATGTTGAAACTGAGTAAATACGCTGAGTCAATTTTCTATGCATGCTTCCTGTATATGATTCACAAGCTCATGCCAATGAGATACAGTCGGTCACATGCATGTATACTCAGAAGTAAGGTCTAGTTCTCACAGGCATTCCATTCTCGAGGTGGGTTTCTGTCTGGAGTATTGTGATTTAAAATTTTAGATAACACCTTCCTGGCATCCTTTGCAAGACCGATAATGTGAGGTCTGACACTTTAGTTTAGAGAGGTGCTTGGTGTACAGTATGTGATGGCACTTTTTTTTAATGAGCCAACATGCTTATAACTTTATTGAACAATGATTGCACAAACTTCTATTGTACTCCACAGGAAAGGTTAAGTGGCTGAAGGTATTGATCATAGTTGGATTTTGAAAACATTTGTTGAGGGTGTTCAAGAGATAGTTTGGGGGTGATATAAGTAAAAAAAACTGCTCCTTTTCCCTTATGGGGGTACCTGAGAGCCCATATAGAGTCCTTTCTTCCCCACTTTCTTAACCTGGAGGCCAACCCATCTGACAGCCACTGAGGACATGGAGATGCACCTGGTAGACAGACTGACGATCATCTGGCCTTTCATTCACCACCATTTGGTATCCCCTCGTCAAGCCTAATTCAGTTGCACATTTCTTGTCTGCAGTAATTAAGTGTCCAATAAGAGCTTCATCAGAATCTTGCACTTGAGATAACAGAGTGTTAACAGAGAAATCTGAGGGCTCCCTTGGACAAAAAACAAGGACACCGCACAGGAATACCAGAGCAAAACAGCAGCCAGTAGGCTTGGTCTTTATTGAAGACTGTTGCGACAGGACTCCCACCTGCCACAAGGTGGAACAAGATGGAAGCTCCGAACAAAAGAGAACCCAAACTTTTATTAGCTGCTAATCCCCATGTTACACCCCCCCAAACTACATCACTAAGACATCATGGTTACATCATGAAATGGAAGGTCTGGTGGCAGTAATCTGAGCATCCTGGACCCTGCCCCATGGTTCTTCTTGCCCTCCACCAAACACCCATCAAGTGTAACAGAAGAGATCTTTACATTTCCCTGTTTCCCAGCCAAGTTAATCACACCCTTTTGTCTTCATCTGGGTTTGTTATTTCTGGAATGGCTACCTGTCTGGCACTCAGGTATCAGGATGCCAGGGATTATCACTCAGGCAGAGGGGCTGCTGAGTAGTTGAGCTCACATGTCTATATGAATTTCCAGTGAGCCAGTACATAGATACATTTATCAGTGAATTCTTACATTTGGTATCGTGCAGCAAAGGCCCTTTGAATAGATAGGAAGAAACTGTGATGAAGTGTTTTGTGGGGACAAATCACAAAAGTCACAAAAGTGATTGTGCTGGTTTTGGTAGTGGGCTGCATGTGCATGAAATCTGCTGGAGGGGCACCACCCCCAACCTATACATAAATTCCTGCAACAAGAGCAATGGGCTTCTTGGGAACCGCTAGGAAATGGGTTGGAGCTTGTGGGGAAATGTCGTGGAGCACAAGGCACTTCTCGTCCTCAAAAAGGATCTTCACGGGGATCTCTTTGCGGATGATCTTCCCAAAGATGGTGTCCCCGCTTGCTGATCTCGTCGGCCATCGCTCCGCAGCCCGCCCATGTGATGATACATCTGAAGGATTATGGAGTCCTTGTTCCATTCATGCCATTTCAGAATGTGGTGCTTCCTTATCTTGTTTCCTTGCCTTGTTATGGTGCTGGGAGCCCAGTACTGTACAGATATTTAAAAACCAGGGGCATTTGTATGTGTGCAGGGCGAGCTCCTTTGCTCTGGCGGTATGGTTGTTGTCAACTCTTCACAGTTTAGCACGCAAGCTCAGCAGGCCAACACTTCTGATGTGTTAGTTGGGAATCCCCTGCTCCCCTGCCTTTGTCCATATCTGGCATAGGCTTTTTTTTTAAAAATGCAAAGAACAGCACCACCACTGTAGCATATAAACCATGCTGTTGTGTGCTTTCACAACCTATATATCCTAAAATATATATCATGCTTTGATCAGTTTAATGCATTTTGCTTTTCTCTTGGTTTTAATGTGTGGGGTTTATTGTTAAGTGCTTTGGGTTGTCCTGGAGAAGTTAAAGCGACCAACAAATTCTATTATTCTTATTAAATATTAATATATTTAATAATTATCTTGAATTATTTTTCCCATTGCAACAGATCTTTCCTTTCTCCAAGGGATAAGGGGTGTGTGTGTGGAAATAAGGGGATCAGATTTCTGAGGGAAGAATCGATTAGCGTCTGCTTTCCCCTCTCCTCCTAAGACTTCAACTCCCAGGAATCCTCGCGTGGGAGGGAAAAGTAGGCGTGGTCAGGATAATTGTTTTTAAATGTGCACACGTTCGCTTTATATTTATTCATTATTATTATTATTATTATCTGCAAGGGAACTTTAGGGGAACAGTGGCGACATGGCAATATCTGCGCCCCTTCGCTCTCGCCCCCCCCCCGCCTATTTAACAACCGTTTGAAAGAGTGAGCACGAGCGTGAGGGGGCGGAGACGACTCTTCCCCAAATCAGCCAATCCTCAGTCGAGCTCACCCCCCCTTCACGTCGGGGCTTAGGCGTAAACTGGGTACGGAGACCCGGCTCGGCCAATAGAAAACCGCCTTGTAGGTGGGCGGCGCCCAACCCAACGTTCGGAAACAAGCCGGTGAACCATGGAGACGCGCGCGAGAGGCAAACAGAAAGTGAGGAGCTGAGCCCCGGTGACGTCATCCGCCCCGCCCCCTGAAGGAGCCACGCGCCAATAGGAGGCCGGCATCCCGGTGCCCGATATTAGCGTCTGCTCCCCCCGCCCCCAGTGCGTCAGGGCAGCCAATGGGAAGCGGGCAGGGAGCGGACGCTCGCTTTTTTGAATTGGTGTGTGCGTCGCGGCAGGTCCCGGAATGGCGGCTTCCCTCTGAGCGGAGAGAGGCCTTGAGTCGTCCTGGAGGGTGAGGCGGAGGAGGGCGGAGCCTGTGGGAGGAGGCCGGGGGCTCCGGGGGTTAGTGAATGGGGAGTTGGGCGACTGAGAAGGGGGAGTTGGGCGAGCGTGGCTCGCGAAGGGGAGAGTTGGGCAACGGTAGCAGGTGGAGAGGGATGGGGAAGCGAGCTGGCTGAGAAATGGGGAAAAGGCCTCGAGTGGCGGCGGCGGTCGCGGTTGCAAGGGCAGCGAAGGGGACTTGGTTTTAGTAACCCCCCCACCCCAAAAAGAAGAATTAAGAGGCAAATCTATTCTAGAATCTGCCTGGAAGTCCCTCTTTTCCATCTCTGTCCCCGCCACTCCAAACCCAGGCATATGGAGACTGGCCAGGGGTGAAAGAAATGCACTCTGTACTTGCTCAGAGGTGTCACCTTTTTTGCATTTAATTTTTTTACATTCAGGGCCTAAGCTCAGGGAATGGGAAAAAAAGATGGATGAGCCTTAGCGTGTGTATTATAATAAGGGGTCTGTTAAGGAAAATGGAAGTTCGTTATTTTATATATGTAAAGGAAAGTCTGGGGCGTGTGTGCCTCTTGTTTTGCAAACTTTATCTCGGCACCTACCTGGAAAGGCAGGGTTTAGGCATTGTGGGGCCGTCTAGATGTTGCGGACAGCAACTCCCATCGTCCCTTACCAATGTCCATGTTGACTGGAGCCGATGGGAAGTGTAGTGCAATTTTGGCTACCCTTTGTAAGGTGTAGCACAAATGCGATTTCACCTGTGCCTCTGTTTCACCCTTACGTCCAACGTTGTGCTGTACCTAAGCCAAAGTACATGGAACTGAAACAGTCAGAAACTTCACTTGTTTACTGCTGCCTCTATCCTCACCCTTTCCTCCTGTTATTCCCCTTGTTTCTATTTCTGTATTATAAGGATTTTGGCTAAGGAACTTTCAGATCTGCACATTGGAAAGGACCATGTTCATAGGTGGTGTTAAATAAAAAAATAAAAAATATTTAGGCAAAGGTAAGCTCTGGTTTGCCCCAGGTGCTTGATCACATCTTAAATTTTCAGTTGCATGTTAAAAATTTCTAAGGTGTCCAAATGTGTAGATTATTTTGCTAGGTCAGTCCAAAGGTCTGTGTAATCCAGTACTGTTTCCAGTACATCCAATATGCCCTTGTGGAACTCATTAAACCCGCAGGGTATAATGGTGATATCTGTACCCTATTTATCCCCAGCATCGGGGAATTGGAGAGAGGCCGGAACAGCTGCCCTGTGAGAAAAGTTGGGGCTATTTAGTTTAGAAAAAAGAAAAGCAGGCAGGGGGACATACAGGGGTATAGAATTAGGCGGCATCTGGAGAAAGTGCATAGAGGGAAGTTTTTCTCTTGTAATACAGAATTTGATCTTATCAAAAGAAGTTGAAGGGTGGGAAGTCCAGAGCAGACAAAATGAAGTATTCCACAGTACACAGCCAAGCTTTAGAATGTGCTTCCACCAGATGTGATGACCGCTAGATTAGATTACTTTAAGAGGCGAACAGACAAATTTATATAAGGCTATTAGTGGGTGTGTTTGCATGTCATGCTAAGCTATGATTTACTGTGAACATGCAGATCACTCCTGCATTAACTGTCCCTTCTGACAAGCAGGAGCAACAAACCAGGATCCTTGGCTTAGTGTTGTGGCTGAAACAGAATTACAGTAGTAGTTTCTTTAGCTGCAAGCAAACCAGGATCTGAAGCCAAGGTCTGTTCTTGGCTTACCTGTTGTGCTTTGTTTGAATCATGATCCCAAGACATGTACTGTGGATTGTTGCCCCTGCTGAAGCAGGAGTGATCTGCGTTTACTATGACATCTGAATGCAGCCATGCCTCTGAATGCCAGTCACTGGGGAACAACAGTGGGAGAGGGTTATTGTGCTAATGTCCTTCTTGTAGGCTTTCCAGAAGTATTTGGTTGGTTACTGGCAAATAGGATGCTGGACTAGATATGCCTTTGGTCTGATTCAGAAGGGATTATCTTCTGTTCTTACAAGGTGTTCTAAAATAAGAGGTAGTCCTTAAATCACTGCTTTGTAATATTGAATGTAACCTTGCTTTTGAGTTTTGCTTTAGAGATCTGGCAATCCTATTCTGCACCACAATTACAGTTTGTTAGTAATGGTTGTCACCTAATGTCAACACATGCTTTATTGTGTGTATAGGTGTTATAAAACAGGTCAGATGGAAAAACATCACACTGGAGTGCTATTGATTTATAGATGTGTTTTGAGTAAGGATGAAGTAATGATACTTAAAATACAGATTTGGGGGGTGGAAATCATGGGTCTGTATGTGATACAACAGATTAGATTTATTTCAGATGCATGATTAAATTCTTGATTCCATCTTCTATAAAATGTGTTGTTGCAGGACCTGAAACTTTGGAATGTGGTGGGCAGGGTTTATGAGCTGAACTATCAGAGATGGAGCATGTGTGCATTTTCATCTGCCCACATGAAGCTCTGATCTTTCATGTTGGGTACTGCCTCACTTTGTTCCATTGTTCACTGATCTAGTGAATAAGTCATTGGTAACTGCTGGGGGAAAAACTGATTGCATATTAAGACTCCATGTTGCAACACTAATGCTTGGCATCTTCAGTCATGTGCTTCCTCACATGATTCCTTCCCGTACCAGCACTGCAAGTGCAGCAGGTCGCTGACCCAACTGTGGGAAATGACCACGTGAGCCCAAAGTTCATGGACGGCTTATGTATTGGGCCCACCTAGTGCTTGCTTCTTGCTTTCTTTTTGATTTCTAAAAATTTGAAGAGCTGTCTTATTCTTGTTCTTATTAAATAAAAAGCATATGCAGCACCTTTCAATTCATGCTGGTTGTGCACTTGTTCCTCTTTGATTGGATATCTGCCTCAACACTCAGTGTTTAGCAAAACTCTGTAGATTACAATACTGCTCAAAGCATTTGCACTCATCTAAAATTAGGTGTGTTGGGCAGGGCAGCACCTACTTTGTGTAGATGATTCCATCTGTTCTGTGCTGAAATTATTCTGGAGCTAACAAAGGATATGCAGGGACAATTGTAAACCTGGGGTGGTCTTAACTTGTCTTTCATAGTCGATTCCCCCTTTTATTGTAGTCTATTGAGATGTTAAATGTTCTGAACACTACAAGCCTATCTAATATTCTAATCTGTGTTAAGCTGTTTTCAGTATGCATTCAAATTCAAAGTGCCTTGCTGGTTCAGATCAAGATCCAGTATTTGCACAAGAATCACAGCAACCAGCTAGGTGGTTCATTGGAAATTGGCCCATGCCTTCTGCTCCACCTGTCATCACACTACTATCACAGAGTATAGTTTATCTCATCTGCTCATATTTTGCCTTAGCTGTGTGTTCCTGTGTGTTTTGCATTCACTCTCTTATGACAGTGTCCTTTAAAAAACAACAACATTCCAGCCCCACCCCATAACAGCTGTGAAGTTGTGCGTACAGTTGCATAATAAAAGGTGGCATATGAAATGTGAAAGTTAAGCAAAGCTTAGAAATCAGAAAGAGGGCTGTGAGCATTGATGGAGTGGCTGCAGAAGAAGCTGTAGATGCAACACCTTGAAGTTTATGTAGAGTCTTCTTAAGTAATGGGCAGAGATGTTTCAGCAGTTGTTCTGAAGTTACTAAAAGGGAGTAAGACAGACAGGAAGGCATATAAGACAGACTTTCAGTTGTCTGGGCTTCATCATACAAAATAAAAGGTCAGATCTTATGTAATGAAGCATAATTTCTCTACACTTGGTACAAGCTTGAAATACAGGTCTCCTCCCTTGAGACTTGACAGTTTAGAGAAAATGAGAGGCTTACTATTCCTCAGATTTTTTTCCTGTTCAAAATGTTTAATTGCTTCTACTTAGTTTGATAATGTGAAAAGAGGTATGTTTATATGATGCATAAAGAATTCATATAGTTAAACACAGCCAGTTACGTTGTGGGTGTTATTGTTAGTTGGATTTACGTAACTGTAGGTTTGATAGTGTCCTGTATCCTGTCAGCTTCCCCTGCTGATGTGCCAGGAGTTACTCTGGTACTTATAACACTTGCATGAGCATTTTACATAGCATGGCACACAAGTGAACTTAATCCCTTCCAGAAGTCCGTTCTTAAACTGAAACTGTTCTTGAACTGAGGCACGCTTTCCCTAATGAGGCCTCCTGCCGCCAGTTCCCTTCCACTGTTCGGATTCCGTTGTTAGACCGAGGTAAAGTTTGCAAACCAGGACACTACTTCAGGTTTTACGGAGTTTGTAAACCGAATTGTTTGTAAATAGGACTGTTCTTAAACCGAGGTACCACTGTACTAGAGAGTCATGGACACCAGAATTCCATGAACACAGAGACGAGCACGAATGAATACTATAAATAAATAGCATGTTGAGAAAGTTGCTCATTTGGCTCCAGCAGATTTTGCAACATCTGGACAGTGCATATAGTTATAGAAAAATATGTTTTGCATAAACATCTTCAAGTATGATCTTATAGCCCAGGTATCTTCACCCACTGACCCACCCAGAAAACCCCCCTTTCTCCCTGTAGTGTTTAGACCCTGCAGATCTTAATGGCAAAACAGAACAGGAAGCAGCAGGAATTGGTAAATGCAAGAGGAAAAGTGAGGCTTTGACAATGTAGGTACAAGCTCTGGTACGGGTATTCAAATTGCAGAGTTGATTTTGGAGTACGGTTAGGAACCTTACATAGATTGCTAATAGTTTCCTAAACGGTGTGTTTCCTTAAAAATAATAATAACTTACTGGGTGATTCCCTTGCAGCCGTAGAAGTGAAATACCCTTTTGACCATGGCTGACAACAGTACACTCATGTCTGATACAGGGAGGAGTCTCTTGGCAGATTCTTCCATTCTTGACTCCAAAATTACAGAATCTTCAAAGGAGAACCTATTCAGGGGATCAGCTTCAGATGGTGAAGGTAATGGAATGAATGGTTCTTATTTCAGAATGTGGATAAAAGTCACTTGCTATAGAAACTCTTGCAATCTAGCTATGAATGTAGTTATACTTCTCTTTGTATTCCTCTAGTTTTTTCAGATGGGAGCATTCAAATGTGTGCTTTTATAGCAGTATTTATGTTATACTTAGCTAAAGCACAATGCAAACTCTTTCCTGTTGGCTTATTTTGTTTTTATTTACTAATTAAAGTATTTCTGTTTTGCCTTTGGCTTCACAATGGAACCCCAAGGCAACTGTCAACTTCATTAAAATAATAAAAGCAAGTAGAACACAAACAGCAGCAGCAATAGCAACTTTATAATAGGTAAATATCAAGACCACAGATCTAAATAGTGAATATATTATTGAAAAGTGCACAAACCTACAAAAAAAAAATTCTTGTTGGCATATAATGAATAAGCTTGTGGGAATTTTTTAATGGATAGCAAAATGTTCCATAATTTCTAAAGGCCCATTTTGCACATAATGCTAAGCCAAACCAGTGGCTGGGCGTGAACAAACTAACGTGTTTCTCCCCAAGCCTTGCTTCTGCTGCACTACCTGGCACTAAGCAACGGTTTAGCTTAGCATTAAACCTGAGCCCAGACTTGTGGTTGGCTTCACTCTAGACCAGAGGTTTTGAACCTTTTTGAGTCCCTGGCTCCCTACATTCTTTCTGCGGCCCCCCTGTGGGGCTCAGGAGCTCAGTTATGTCACCCCTTACCTTCCGAGCTGGCAGCCTCTCGCCCTTTTTCAAACACCATCTGTTGTGGAGTGTTCCCTCGGCCTTCTCCTTGGGAGTCCCCTGGGCAGCTACTGCTGCCGCCCCTGGTCTCTGAGCTGCCCCCCTGCCCGAAAGAGAAGTGCCTCCTCACACTGCCCTACTGGGGCATCGGAAGAGGATGCCCCTACTGAATTATCTGGATCCATTCCCAACCAAGATTCAGGCCTAGCTTCAGAACTGAGTCAGCTTTGGTTACCCTGACCCATGACCTTTATCAGGACAGGGATAGAGAATGTGATCCTGTTGCTTCTCTTTGATCTCTCAGCATCACAGTACCATTAACCATATTGGCTGGATCAACTAAGCGAGTTAGCAGTAGGAAATATGGCGATTCTACAGGGCTGTTTTCAGAAAGTGACACTAGGAGACTCTTATCTGCCTTAGTGGCCCAACAGAGACTGGCCAAAGGTGAACGTGAGGTCAGCACCTTACCTTGGGAGACAGCAGCGGGCACTGCCGAGCCTGCATGGTGGAAAGGCTCCCCTTCAGCTCTGGGCACTCAGGTACCAGGGAGACCTTGCACACAGCCAGCACAAGAAAGGCCAGAGCGGTGCCTGCATGCCTGCCTGGCCTCCCACTTGTCTGTCCGTCCCAACAGCAAGGACTGGTTGGACTCCCTTGCCTACTTGCTTGCCTACTCCAAGGCTGCCTCAGCTCCTGGCAACCAGCACCCCCTGGCCAGCCCCAGAGCCACCATTCACCTGGGGAGCTTGTAGCTAGAGCTGCTGCAACAGCTGTGCAAACCTTTGGGAGGAAGAGACGTGAGAGGGCATCAGAGGAAGGAAGGAAAGGAAAGAAGGACCGAGGCCAGTGTTGCCCACAGCACCCCTGACCATCATTCAAGGCACTCCAGGGGGCCAGAAACAGAACCCCGGCGCTAAACGGTTGCCGCCTGTATACCTGAATTACATGTATAAAAGGATGTTATTGGGAATATAAGCTTCTTCTACTTCCTCTCCCTTGTTGAGAGAGAAGATAGGTCGCTTTAATTCTGCAATCATATGTTTAGATACTGTTTGTTCTTTTTTCACCTCTCCCAAAAGAAGAAATGCCGCAGATTGAAACTAGGGTAGTCCTACCGAAAGAAGCTGCAAAATGTGAAGAACTTCTGAAAGCTTTGGAGGTAAGATTTATCAGGCCCCCAACATGATGCCCATGACTGAACTTGTGCCCTTGAAGATTTCTGGTGCTCTCAAAATTCTAAATGCCCATGATCCCAAAATGGTATGCGATCCCTCATGTTATTGAAAACTTGTAGTTGAGGCTTTGGATTATTTCGTTCTCATACTGAAGTTCTCCTCTTCTGCAGACCATTAAGATAATGGAAGTTCCCGTTATAAAGATAAAGGAAGCTAGTTCTGGTAAATCGGAAGAAAAACTTATTAAAAGTATTATCCATATGGTATGTTGGGGCAATTACGTGTACATATCTGCATGCAGTCTTTTGCACTACTGGGACAGAAGTGGGCAAAATCAACAATCTCATCACTTGGTATATGGATAATATAAAAGCACAATAGTAGTGAATGGTGCACAATGGAGCTAGCTGAATCGAAGCTTTGACACTTTGGGGTGTTGGCATTGGTTCTGAATTGATGTACACCTGTGATGGTTACGATGATGTATCTCATGCTCATGAATTAGAACTCAAATTTGATTTAACTATTAAAACTCTTTGCTTCTATCTGCAAAAAAGGAGTCATGTTTCTGTTGGGCTAGCTTCAAATTTAATGGGCAGTTTCTAACCCATACTTATTTTTATTGAAATAATCCTGCTATACAACTTATAGGCAGAAAAACATTTTTGTTAGCTTTACTATTGTAAATAATACTTGACTTTTTTTGTAAACAATTGAAGGAAATTAAAGTGCCCTACATAAAGACGGATTCAGTGGAGGAGTATAAGAATTCCGATTCGCCAGAATTTGAGACCATTTTTGTGATAGCAGACTTTCAAGATCCCATTTTCAATGATTTGCACAAAGCTGACTGCAGAGTCCTTGGGCCCCCAATAGTACTGCATTGTGCCAGAAAAGGCGAGGTAAGAATATACATTGTAAGAGATCTTGAAATGGTGGCTAGCTTCTGTTTTAGACATGCATATATTTGGATACAATTGTGGCTTCCCCTGTAACTCCTAAAACTGGGACCTGTTTAAAAATGTATTTTATTCACTTGTCCTTTGGGATACACATTGGATTCTTGATCCATGCCTGTGTTAAATATCACAGTCATAAACTTTGACAGATCTGTTTTCACTCATTTTTCCTCCTTACCATGTGGCTCTCTGATATCTGTAGTGCAACATTTGAATGAAGCACACTTCTATTGTGCATCTAATACTTGAAAAAAAATAGAGTCTTGTGGTACCTTAAAGGCTAACAGGTTTATTAGGGCATAATAAAAAATACATCCATAATGAAAATGTACACTAAACAAAACATGTTAACACAGGAGGTTCTGATCAGGTCTGTGGTCCTTTTCTTACATTGCTGTAACTGTGTTTTCTTCTTCCCACACAAATCTCTCCTCCTCCCTAGGGAGTCTTTAGCTTTAGCGTCCTTTGTCTTGTAAATGTGACTTCTTCATTTAGATGTTAACAAGAACAGTATAGGAAGAAACAACCAGGAAGTGACTTCTATAGAGCTGTAGGTTTGATTAAACCAGGCCCCTAGTTCCCTGAATGGGTGGCGGCTTATTCTTCAAGTGCATGATTTTCACAGGAGCTTACTTAATTGTCTTGGGCCGTCTTCTGTGACAACTAACCAGTTTACTTTTATTTCAGCCTCTGCCTTTCTCATGCCGCCCGTTGTACTGTGCCAGTATGCTGAATCTTGTGTTATGCTTCACAGGATTCAGAAAGAAAGAAGAATTGGTAATATTGTCTTTTTTCCATGCCCCTTAGAATAGTTCACCTACATGGAATAATAGTTAAAGAGGTTGCAATATTGAGTGGAGAACAAGTAGTGGGAGATCCGCATGGAGCTTGGTACTGACTGCTATAGCAGCACCACTTGAGGAATGTGCAAAGAAGTTTTTTTTTAAAGTCACAAATGGAATAGTGTGATGGACATGAAATGGGGACATCTGGATTCAAGCTTCCACTCAGCACTGAGTGATATTCAGCTGTGGGATGGTGACTGGTCCAACTTGAAGACATGATGTGTATCTGTTCCTGCAGGCATTTTAAGGGCGTTTTCTGATTTTACCTGCTGATTTTTATTTGTTATGTGCTTTCTGTGATTTTTATGCACATTGCTTGGAAATTTTTGTATATAAATAGTTGAAATAAACAGAATGGGCATCATGCCATATACACCACCATATGGGGTCCTCCTATGGAAGACAGGAATACAATTATGAGACACAAGTTGGTTAAAAGTACCAAATGTTTGTGGGGTAATACTGTGAGTGCTGATAAGTCGAGTTAACTCACTGCAGTCAGCAAGTAGTTATCTTCTCTTTCTGCCTCTGGCAGCTAAACATTCCTTTAAAGTTTTGGATTTTAACCTATTCCTTCCATGTGGTAGAGTAGTATGGCATTTATGGGGTGAGTAACTAGGCTTCCGACCGTTCCAACTTGTATACTGTTTTTTCAGTTACCCTCACAACATTGTAGCCAATTGGAAGTAGAGTGGACATCTGCTTCTGCTTCCCCTTAATTGCCAGGTTCATAAGATGAATTTTTGACTCTCCTGTGCAAAGCACTCCTAAGCAAACCTTCCTCCGAACTCTTGACCCTCCTGTGCAGGAATGCCTTTAAAGAGAGAAGTAACCATTTTACAACCCAAATGTTGCAACGTAAACTGAAAGGAGAATGGCTGGAAGTACTGTTGCTTTGTACACTGAATTGCAGATAGCATATTACCTTGGTCTAATAGGAATTTTGTTTAAAAAATAAATAGAAAACTAACTGGAGCCCAATTTTGTTCATAGGTGAAGCTGGTGACTTTGGCTCATCATATGGGAGGGATTATTCGACGGGATTTCAATTCAAAAGTTACACATTTGGTGGCTAATTCTACGCAAGGAGGCAAATTCAGAGTATGTTCATTTCCCTTTCTATTCAGAGTTTGGGTGCAGAATATGGTTTTTTGCATATACCAGGCATATGATGCAAAGGGATGATAAGTACTGTATGTACACTAAGCTGTGGGCAGGAGTAAATGGATTTTGCATTTAAAGTTTTTGATTGTGCGTCTTTATTTTAAGAGGCATTTCAATATTTTGAAGGATGTCTTGGAGGTGTATTAGAGTGGCATTTTGAAGTTGCATAACTTTTCATTTAAATGTCAACTACAAATGGAGCTACCTTACGACCCAGTGGCAGGAGATGTTTAATACTGTAACTGGACAGCAGTTTTGTTCTCGTTTTGTTGCACCCGGTCATATTAAAATGAAATCTCACTTGTGTCTACGTTTCCCACAGGAATGCAGCGAAGTATACCATAGCTGTCTTCCATGAGCAAACATCTATTTTATCTAAATCATTTTAAATACAGTTGATCCTCCGTTTATGGCTTAGTAAAATAATGAATTGTCCATATTCATATATATGATGGATTTATTGAGGGCTGGATAATATGGCTCCCTTCCAAAATGTTGGGGTGGATAGACATAAATCATTGATTGAAAATCTGATTTACATTGGCTTCCCCCTCCTGCAGAAGGACTGTAGCTCAGTGGTAGAGTATCTGCTTTGCATGAAGAATGTCCCAGGTTCAGTCCCTGGCATCTCCAGGTGGGACTGTATGTACCCAGTCTAGAATGTACCCAGTCTAGAATCCTAGGGAGACTATGTCAATCAGTGTAGACAATACTGAGCTAGATGAACCAATGATCTGGCTCCATTCCCCCTGTTATTTGACTCAAGGAAGCAATTCAATTGTTTTAATATTTCCTGAAGGAGCATGTATACTAATCAACTTACGTAATTAAAGCTTGCCATTAAATAAAGCTTTTCTATTACATGGGAGCAGAATCTGACCCCCTCTGGTCATGAAGTCTGTGTGTAGTCAGGAATTTCTAATGCCTTCATGCAAAAAGAAAGGTGGGAGGAAGGAATGTGCAAGCCTGAGTATTGCCAAACCATGTTTTGGTGTTGGAATATGAATATGTGGGTGCATGTTTCACTATTATAATGTTTGACTCCAAAGGCCAGATTTCACCTGCTTTGTTCTTTGAACTTTGTGTTTCAATAGGGGCCCATGGATTCAGTTTTGTGAGCTTGCCACACTTCCACTAACATCCAGTGTTAAAGTACAGATTTTTTAAAAAAAATTAAAAAAGCCCACAAATGTTAATTATGTTTATCAAGCATAGATTTTTGTGTTTTGTGAAATCCTATGATCTCTACTAAGTAAGCCTTTGCAAGGGCATTCTCTTTTTCAGTCTGCATAGGAACTGTACCTGTTAACCTCTTTCTCTGCTGATTTGCAGGCAGCTGTGAGTCTAGGCACACCCATCATGAAAGCAGACTGGATTTATAAGGCCTGGGAGAAAAGGAATGACATGTATGTATACATTGTTCAAAGTGGCATTGGTATTTGCACTTGCGTGCAGGACAGTGAGAAGAAACCATTTTCTGCATAGGAAAACATGGTGCAACAAGGTTTAAATCCCTCTTCCCATTTCCCCCCCACTCCTTAGTGACTTCTGTGCTGCTGCTGAGGAATTCAGGAAAGAATTTAAAGTTCCCCCATTTCAGGACTGCATGTTGAGTTTTCTTGGATTCTCTGACGAAGAAAAGAAGAGCATGGAAGAAATGACAGAAATGCAAGGTAAATGTGAAAAAACTATTGCACTAAAAGAGTCTATGTACATAAAATGCTTCAAACCGCCTCGTACCCTGGACAAAAACACTACTATCACTGTAAAAAGATACTTTGGGGGGGCACACATATTAAATAGCCAGCATGTTATTGTATTGCTGATACTACAGATTTTGATGCTCTGTTTTACTGAGAACGTGTTAGTGTTCATATTTGTAAATGTATTACAGTAGTTGATGACTTGTTTAATGAACTGTATACCCCTCTATTATACCTGTCTATGGAATCATGCTTTTCTACTGATTTGCACTTAAAAGAGGTTGACGTCGCCATCTAAAGCAAGTCTAAATGCCGAGAATTCGTTACAGAAGAGATGTCAAATGCTTAAGCTGTATCTCAAATTGCATTTGTGCAGATTTGTGCTTTTTCTTTAATTCATGTACAGCTTCCTGAACGTAAAAATGTGGAGAGCCAGCTTTGCATCATGCATAATAACAAAAATCTGAAGCTGTGTGAAAGAAATTAGTGCTCTCTCCTTTAAATATGTTATTCTAAGTATGGTTAGCGTTGTTTGTAGGTGATCTGCAGTTCTTGGAGCTCTCCATATCTTCATATCCCTTACGCTAACATTCAAAAAGGCCAGTATTATTCTCAAAGTACAGACAGAAGAAATAAGCAAGTTCCATGTAGTGAGTTCATAGTTGTGAGATTTCAAGTAGAGACATTTATGTTTATCCTCTTAGCCAGTATGTAGCACCAACTAGAGATGCCCTTCTCCATTCTCTAAAATCTGCATCTGCTTGCATTGAGCCTCAGATTTCTTCTATATCTTCCTTTCTAAACTCTTATTCTGAATAAATAAGGGTTTGGTGGACCTGTGGTCCTCTTCCTAATTTCATGTGTGTGGCAAGGAGGGGAAAATGTGGACGACGAGTGGCAAGAAGAGATGTGCCCCAGCTCTGTCCCCTGACAGATTACATGTGAGGGACAGAGGAAAGTCTCCTCTCCCCCACCTTACATAATACTTTGAGAATAACTTTGCACATTTTTCACTGGGAAATAAGATTCCTGTCTCCCTTGGTGTTACTGTAGTGTGTTGGAATGAAAATTAAGTGTAGAATTTAGGAAGGAACAGATTAATCTTGGCAACCCTCTTTTGTCTTCAGGTGGACAACACCTGCCTGTTGGTGATGAAAGGTGTACTCATCTCATAGTTGAAGAAAATACTGTAAAAGACCTTCCATTTGAGCCATCACAGAACCTCTACGTTGTAAAGCAGGAGGTCAGTTTCAATAGAAAATCCTGGATTCTTAAAATGCATCCTAAGCCTAAACCCCTTGGCTTTTGCTTTTCAGTAGCTATTTTTAACGTTGGCAATGATGGATTGTTGTATATGCTTGAGCAAATCACAGAAAATGTTTTTTTCTCCCTCTAGTGGTTTTGGGGAAGCATTCAGATGGATGCCAAAGCTGGAGAATCCATGTACCTTTTTGAAAAGGTGAGCTGCTATAGAAGGAAATCTAGAATACTGAAAGCAATTTATAGAACCAGAATGGGATCTTTAGACTGGGCAATTCTTGGTACAGTGGTGCCCCGCAAGACGAATGCCTCGCAAGACGGAAAACCCGCTAGACGAAAGGGTTTTCCGTTTTGGAGGTGCTTCGCAAAACGAATTTCCTATGTGCTTGCTTCGCAAGACGAAAATGTCTTGCGAGTTCCTGCGGGGTTTTTTCCTTTCCCCCCCCTTTTTCCCAAGCCGCTAAACCGCTTATCAGCTGATCGGCTAAGCCGCTTAACAGCTGATCGCTAGCCGCTTATCAGCTGATCGTTAAGCCGCTATCAGCTGATCGCTAAGCCGCTTATCAGCTGATCCGCTAAGCCCGCTAAGCCGCTAATACTGTAGCGCTAATCCGCTAAACCGCTAATGGGCTTGCTTCGCAAGACGAAAAAACCCGCAAGACGAAGAGACTCACGGAACGGATTCTTTTCGTCTTGCGAGGCACCACTGTATTAGCTTATTAATGAAATAGAAGATGGAATTTTGGGATGATTTTTAAACACTTCAGTTCCATTAACTGTGTCAAAGCATTTTTTGTTTCTGTATTTATGTAAAACACGTATGGACACTTTTATGAGTAAAACTCAATTAGGGCAGCTTACGCAGTGGCCCGGTTCACTAGTTGACTCAAACCATAGTTTAATACAAACAATGGTTTAATGTGAACAAGCAGCAGATCGCAGCTCAGAAGCTCTTGTGGCACTCCTCCTCTCCTCCCCAGGTGCTGCGCCAGAGATGAAACAAGGCAGAGTTGTGCTTGTCATGTCATCTGAACCAGAGCTTGTGGCTTCCTTCCCCTAAGCAAACCATGAGAGGTAAACCAAGAACAAAGCTTAGCTACTACTCATGGTTTGTTTGGAGAGAAACAAACCATAAGTGCAGGTTTTGACAGCGTAATGAGCCAGATTCTGGGTTGCTTAGTTTGTGGGAGCAGCAGTGCGGGAACTTTTGAGCAGTGTGCACCACCATTCTGTTTGTTCCCATTAAACCATAGTTCATATTAAACCATGGTTTAATCTGTCATGTGATCTAGACCAATAAGAGACTGAAGTGCAATTTCTAACAACAAAATAGAATAGAATACAAAGCCTCCTGTGAAAATTTGAGTAGTAATAAATGCGTATCCAGCCCAAAAATAAAACACTTTTTCCCTTCACAAGAAAGACCATCACCTCAAAGGAACTCAATAATAGCAGAAGATAATTACTAAAGAATCAGCTGGTGAAAATAATTGGGTTTTCAAGGCCTTCCTGTAAGCTTTACAGTGAAACCAATTTCAGTAGCTGGATTTTACAGCTTCCTGGGGTTCTAAGCTGTAGAGCAGGAGTACAGTTACCTATCTGAATGTTTATATTTCATTGCAGTTAGACAGTCCTGAACTGAAAACGTCTGTCTCACAACTTTCACTGAGTACTCCAAATAGCAACCGGAAGAAACGTCGCTTGAGAGAGACCCTTGCTCAGCTGACCAGAGAGGCAGACATGTCTCCCTTCCCACCTCGGAAGCGGCCATCAGCTGAGCATTCCCTTTCGATGGGATCCTTACTTGATATTTCCAATACTCCTGAATCGGGCATAACTAATGGAGGTAAAGGAAAACCAGCTCTGTGTCACTTAATAGTTGTGGCAAAAATAAAACACTTCTGAATACTGACAAGAGTAACTGATTTTTCCCTTCTCAATACTATACAGGGAGCAGGATAGAATTGAGGAACGTGGATATTGGTAGACAGAAGGGCAACTCTCATTTCTATAGACTTAGTCGGATGAGGAGGAAATCATGCAGGCTTTCCAGATGTATTCCTCTGGATAACGTTGCTCGTAAATGTTGCATAAACTCCTTAGAAAATCTGCAACAAACCATCAAGGCAGCTAGCAGTAAGCCACCTGAAAGCCTAGTTAACGAAGCACCTCAAATGAAACTTCAGAAATTCATTATTTTCCCAGTCGAAAGCAAGGAAACTTCTGTAAGCCTCCGTTCCATTCCAATTTTGAAAGATGTTGTCTTATGCGAACATCATCCAGTTAGAGATGTACCGAGAACATCGCAAGGTGATGATGAGCAAATTTCCTTAATTTTTTTAGATCGCAGTGACCATTTAGGTAATGCAGAACTTAACTTGGGGCATGAGTCGTGTACTAAAGGCGATTTCAAAATACAGATTGGATCCGTTTGTGGCACCTGACTTCCAAGGTGAACCAAATTTGTCCCAGCAAGAGTAGAGGTAGAGACATCTCACTGATGTAAATAAGGTTGCTTCAGCTGTACCAACTTCAGTGCTGAAGTGCAGGAAGTGAGTTGTGAGAGAAGCAGCAAGGAACAAGATGAGTGTAGTTTTTATGATGGAACACTGACAATGATAGTTGGATAGGAAGACTTGAACCAACCTTTGAATCCAATTCAGATGCTGGTTTCGCTTGCACTGCTTCAGTGCTCATAAGAAGTAAGCTAGGTGCCGTTCAGATTCCTGATAAGTTCTGTACCTGAAATCCTTGGCAATTTTCTACAATAGAATACAAAAAAAATTACTTCTGGTATCAAAATATTTTGGGGATATTCCCTAATATTGCTAAAATAATGGGCATTGGCTATTTTATAATAGTAGCACAGAGAGAAAGTGGTAGATAGAACTTCACCTTGCATGGTGGCACAGAAAGTAGAACCCACTTAGGGCTTTTCCTGTTCCAGCAGGTTTTTATTTTGTGCAACTTTAAAAAGCGGAATAGCACTCAAATCTTCATATTTAAAATGGATTAGCACATCTAATGGAAACAGTCGTCTTAAATAGATCACCTGTTAAGAATCCATGGTAGTTTCCCTGCTTGTAAAAACAAAACAAACCCCCCCCAAATGAACACCCAAATAAATCATTTTTATGTCTCGTGTCTCCATCCTTTACAGAAACTCCAAAATCATGTGCAAAGCCGTCCAAAAACTCGACTCCTTTTCTGCCAAAGCAGTCTGCGAGATGGCAGGTTGCGAAGGAGCTGTATCAGACGGAGAGCAATTATGTTGATATCCTGACAACCATAATCCAGGCAAGTTGATAGGTCCCCCCTGTACCTGATGGAAACTTGCTACAAATCAATAGCACCTCACTTTCCAAAAAGATCCATTATTAAGGGGCCTCTGCTACAACTACTATTGCAGTAACTGCCCTCTGAGGGCTGATGGGCACCTTACACGGTAGCGATGTTGTCTGTATGCTGTGCGTGTCTCATGCCAGATAAGGAGAGGTGTGTCTGCAAAGGATGTGATGTGGAGGCAGTCATGCGCCAGGAAGCTTTGGCTTGCCTGTGCTTCCTGGCACATGTCTACCATGCACATATGACTGAGGTTTAAATAGGCTTTTTTTTTTTTTACATGGGGATCCTTCAGTTCTCCCATCCAGATGACTGATTGGTTTCATGCTTGCTCATCTTCACCAATGCTTTAGCAGCAGGTGCTCCTACGCCGCTTGCTGGGCCCACTCATCTGCCGTATGTTAAGGACTAACCTGACAACCATGCCTAGTCAGCGGCTGTTTTTATTGGAGCACCATTGTGAGAAGGGGCTGAAGAGGGACAGGTCTGTGCCTGAACATGGCCTGCCAAGAAGTTATGTTAGCGCTGATGCAGTTACTGGAAATGCACAAAGTCTGAAACAATGCAGCTGCATTAGAACACGAATCATTTCCAAAATATAATTATAAATGCGTCTTCTCCAGCACTCGATTCGAACAGCGTTTCTGGATCGCAGCTAGGTTGTCCTCGGTATCATCGATGCTCTTCCTTTCATTTAGGAAAAGATAATGATCCGTATTTTGCAAATAAGAATGTTTTAAAAATACTATACTGCTTCTTGGGAGAAAAGCAATAACCGACCTAGACAGCATCTTAAAAAACAGAGACATCACCTTGCCAACAAAGGTCCATATAGTTAAAGCTATGGTTTTCCCGGTATGATGTATGGAAGTGAAAGCTGGACCATAAAGAAAGCTGATCGCCGAAGAATTGATGCTTTTGAATTATGGTGCTGGAGGAGACTCTTGAGAGTCCCATGGACTGCAAGAAGATCAAACCGATCCATTCTGAAGGAAATCAGCCCTGAGTGCTCACTGGAAGGACAGATCGTGAAGCTGAGGCTCCAATACTTTGGCCACCTCATGAGAAGAGAAGACTCCCTGGAAAAGACCCTGATGGTGGGAAAGATGGAGGGCACAAGGAGAAGGGGACGACAGAGGACGAGATGGTTGGACAGTGTTCTCGAAGCTACAAACATGAGTCTGACCAAACTGTGGGAGGCAGCGGAAGACAGGAGTGCCTGGCATGCTCTGGTCCATGGGGTCACGAAGAGTCGGACACGACTAAACGGCTCAACAACAAGAACAAAAATACTATATTATACTGCAATGTTTAAATGTTTCTTTGATTGTCCTTGAATCTTACCACCACCCTTGCCGTCCTCTCCTGTCACACCTCTGGTGCACCACATCCTTTGAGAACCACTCCTCTAACTGTGGCACTTGGGGGTTGGTAATGGAGACAGCTGAACCAACATCAATTTATATGGGTACTAGGAAAGCCTTCATTTTTATTGTTTAGGGCAGGGGGTTAAGGGGAGTGACGACTAGGCGGCAGCATCTTGGCACGGTAAACCTGGCCCAGACCATAATTGCCAATAGGTGGCTTTAGGGAAATTGTTATCTGCTGCAAAGAGCATGAATCTGCCTTGAGTGCAGCCTTCCAATTAAGATGACTCTGTGGTATTACATCTATTTGCTGTTTTCATTTTTTCCAGGTCTTTCAAGTCCCCTTGGAAAAGGAAGGACAACTTGGAGGCCCCATCCTTGCACCAGAGGAAATTAAAACCATATTTGGCAGTATCCCTGACATCCTTGATGTACACACCAAGATAAAGGTTGTCTTCAAGACTTGTACAATGCAGATCTTTCATCTGTGTTGCTTTACTCCTGAGTTTTAACTTGCTTGTGCTGCCCTGGAAAGACATTAATGTTTGGAACAACTAAAGACAGAAAATGGAATTTGAAGTTGCAAGTTTAGAATTTGTTCTACACTCTTCAGCTCAATAGTTCGTGAATAGATTCCCTGAAACTGACTCACATCAGGCATAATACCAAAAATAAGGGTGCTTATGTTTTCCCTTGCTTCCAAATGTGGTATCAAATTGTTATTGTTATCATTAATTCCATTTGTATAGTACCCTTTACAACAGAAAGAAACAAAATGAGAATTAAAAATACATAAGAAAAACAAACCAATAGCAACCCCCCCCATTTAAAAAGCCATAGAATGTTAATCTGCTGAATGCCTGCTTGAAGAGAAATGTTTATGCCTGGTGCCTAAATATATGTAATGAAGTTGCTTATCTACACTCAGTGTATATAAGCACCTTCATTACATATCTTTAAATTAAAGGCTATTTGGGAGCAGAAAAAATGCACAAGTTCAGGGTACTAATATAACTTTCCATCTTACAAATTGTAATTTTTTTTTTTAATAGGCAATATGTCATTTATGTTCTAGGAGGACCTTGAAGACCTTATGATAAACTGGACTGAAAGCGAAAGCATTGGTGATGTCATACTCAAATATGTAAGTCTTCAACACTAGCTGCATTACCATGAGTGCTCGCATAGCACATGGGGAGGAACCCCCTGGTCTTGGAGGAATTGGGGGAAGCCTCAAGCAATGCTAAAACACACAGCTTGTTTTAGTAACATCGAGCAAAGTTTTGCATTGCACACTTGTACTGTTGCATTTGTATACTGCCCTACACCTGTAGATCTCAGAGATGTTGGGGAAGGCTGCTGTGGAGTGCCTCTTAGCTGGCTTAGTGGTGACTGAAAATACTTCAGGGCATGATGGTATATTTAAGCTGGTTGCTGTAAAGGACCAATTTTTAAAATTACCTTTTTCCACTTCAGCTTTATGCTTGTTGTAAATGAAAGTTCTGCATTCTTTCAGTCAAAAGACTTACTGAAAACATACCCTCCTTTTGTGAACTTCTTTGAAATGAGCAAGGAAATGATTACTAAGTGCGAAAAACAGAAGCCAAGGTTTCACGCTTTCCTGAAGGTAATTACCTTCCCCCCCTTTTCCTTGCTCCCCCACTGTGTGTGTGTGTGTGTGTGTAATATATATATATAGATATATAGATAGATAGATAGATAGATAGATATAGATATATGGAAGGGATTTCATCTGTGTATTGACTTGGAGTATGTTTTTGACTTCTGTGTAAGAAGTTAGCAGCGTCTGACTTCAATGCCTTTAGAACAGGTGTGGACCGAAGGTGGATTAGGATCTTACCTTTAGATTGGCAGAGGTTTTTCACTCCTACCTGCTGAAGCATTTAAAATATTGCTTACCTCCTCTTCATTGCCAAGGTAAACCCAGAGCAGGTTGCCTAAAAAGTCACATATGTGCTACTACATTTTATAAAACGAAGTAAGCGAGTAATAGTAGCACTAACAAACAGTTCACAAGATAGTAATCAAACAGATTCCAGTTTCCTATCAAGCTATAGCCTAGATGAATGAAGTCAGAGTTGGCACCAGCTGTATCCTGGCCTGGGCAGGGAGGCAGGGAATTCCATATTGACATCCTTGGCATTGCCACATAGTGAGCTTGGTCCAAATGCATCACGGTGAGCAGGGCCTCCCCTTATTTATTCATGATTTGTACCCCGCCCATCTGACTGGTGCCTCCAGCCAATGATAGATCTAATAGCACCACCAGAGTGCACATCTGTTTGTTTTGGAGGGAGGGCAGCTCCATCCAGAGTAGAAAACCTGCCCAATTCTTTGGCCTGACTATCCACAGGATCTCCATCTTATTAAGATGGAGCTTCAACTTGGCCCTCATCCAGCCCACCACTTGTCTAAGAACCAGGGCTTGCACCTTCCTTTCTGACTTGGATATACAGAGAAAGTAGAGTTGGGTGTCATCAGCATACTGAGGGCATGTCAGACACTCCACACAGTTCCCAATGGATTCATAGAGATATTCAGTAGTCTTGGGAGCAAGATGGAAGCCTGCAGACCACCACAGAATAATTGCTATAAGGTTGAGTTTCTTAGCGTCATTTTCTGAAAACACCCCTGTAGAATCGCCGTATTTCCTGCTGCCAACCCATTTAGTCGATCCAGCCGATATGGTCGATGGTACTGAGTGCTGCTGAGAGATCAAAGAGAAACAACAGGATCACATTCCCTGTAGTCCTGTCCTGATAAAGGTCATTGGTTGGGGTAACCAAGGCTGACTCAATTCTGAAGCTAGGCCTGAATTTTGGTTGGGAATGGATCCAGATAATTCAGTAGGGGCATCTTCTTTCCAGGCTGCTGTGGGGCAGCGTGAGGAGGCACCTCTCTTTGGGGTGTGGGGTGGGGCAGCTCAGAGACCAGGGATGGCGACGGTGGCTGCTTGGAGGACTCTCAAGGAATCAAGAGAGGACTGAAGGAATAGTCCACAAGGGAAGGTGTTCAACAAGGGGTGAGGGGCTGCTGGCTCTGCAGGCAAGGAGTAACATAGCTGGGCTTTTGAGTCTCAGAGCATTTCCCCACAGGGGAGCCGCAGAAAGAATGTAGTTGGTCAGGGGAGCTGTGGACTCAAAAAAGCTGAAAACCTCTGCAGATAAAGCATTTTGTCCAAGAGCTTCTGGCCACTACACCTTCCTTAGAAAGGGGATGTTTGTGACTGGGTGGTAGTTGTTACAAACCTCTGAGTCTGGTGCAGGTTTACTGAGGAACGGTTGCACTACTACCTCTTTAAAGACAGCAGGCATTGGCTCCTCATGCAAAGAAAATAAGAATTTCACACTTAGCAATGGCAAGGATTGAGTTGGTACTTTGCTCTCAATAGATAAATCAAGCTAAACCAGAGTGTGGTCGACAGAGTTTGGCAGAACTCCTCATCCGACCTGTTCAGAGGCTGCCTAGTGTTGCCCTTCTTCTAAATGGTAAGTGAGGGCTGGTTTTGCATCGCTTGTTTTTGTAGAGCAAGTGAGCTGGTGCCTTATTTTAGTTGCTTCAAATTGGGAGAGCTAAATGCTCTGTAACTGAAACGGGCTTCATCTGACTCCATGCCCTTTTCTGCAAAAGTACATGACAGAGCTGTTCTGGGGATGGTGGATACTTAAGCATTATTGTGTTTTAAACTTTCCAATCGATTTGTTTAAGGCTCTAACACTACGGAGATCTTTAAACATGCTTTCAGTTAAGAGGAATAATGGAATGCAATTGGGCAGTGACTGACAATTCCCATCCCCCCAAAACACTCTGTAGGTTATCTATGTCACTAAAACATATGCAGTTCTTAAATCCGTTTGCCACCTACTGTTAAGTATAGTCTTACAGGCCTAACCTGCATAATTTACATTAGGCCTTGAAATAGGTGTGGCTCAGCTGTTTGAGAGTCTTTCTAGGTGAGAAAAGACAAGAAATCCATGTTTTGCAAATAAGAGTTTCAGCAACCACAGAAAATAAATTCCAGCTGTATGGGGTGAAAAGGTGATTGAAAACCAGTGTCCCCCCCCCCCCCAAATTCTCAAACTTTGTCAACATTATCTTGGCATGATTTTAAAAAGTTGCCCTTTTCGCACTTCCCTGTTTTAGACATTAAGAAACATACGGCAGAAGACAATCCTGACAAGGCAACTCTAGAGAGAGCCATTGAGTCGCTAAAGGAAGTGATGACGTAAGTGGTGATAATCGTAACGAGATATTCTCTGGGTCTGATGTTAGTATGGTAGACTAGCTTGGCAGTAAGGCATACTGTCTATTCAGCAGACAAGTATTCTGCATATATCTCTCTCCCTACCTACCAACCATACTAGTCTGCTCAAGAGGCAGCATGCATTATATATAGTTTTTAAAAGTTGTATTTATAAAAATGGTACCTTGGTTTTCGAATATAATCCGTTCTGGAAGACTGTTTGGCTTCCGAAACGTTCAAAAACTGAGGCGCAAAGGGTCTTGCAGAGGCGGCCTGCGATTTCAATGGAGAAAATGGAAAAAAACGCAGTGGAAGCTCTTCAACTTCTGAGGCACATTCGAAAACAGAAGCATTTATTTCAGGTTTTCGGCGTTTGAAAGCCAAAACGTTTGGTTTCTGAGATGCTCAGAAACCAAGGTACCACTATATATGTAACTGTTCTATGCTCTTATATTGTAAATTCGTTTGGCATGCCTCATGGGAAGCTATCAGCAAATGAAATTCCTGCAATTCTGCTATTCTATGAATCTGTGAAATATATAACAATGGGATGGTTTATCCTGTGGTATATTGCCGGCCTGTATTTTCCAGTTGCCAAAAAAGAAAAGAGAAAACAGAAAGCCGTGGGAATGCTGCTGTTGTGATGAGGTAGCTAGGTTCCCAGCTGAACTGTGGGTTCCATCTCAAAAGCCACACATTGAATAGCACTCATTGGAAAAAAGTTATGAGCGTTTAATTCTCCTCAAAACTGGGAGGACCTGCTTTGGCACTGTTATCCATTTGATACATCGTTTTGTAATGAGAAAGGGATGCGGGTGGCGCTGTGGTCTACACCACTGAGCCTCTTGGGCTTGCTGATCAGAAGGTCGGCGGTTCAAATCCCTGTGACGGGGTGAGCTCCCGTTGCTCGGTCTCAGCTCCTGCCAACCTTACAGTTTGAAAGCACGCCAAAAAGTGCAAGTAGATAAAGAGGTACCGCTCCGGTGGGAAGGTAAATGATGTTTCTGTGCGCTGCTCTGGTTTCGGTGTTACGCTGCGCCAGAAGCGGTTTAGCCATGCTGGCCACATGACCTGGAAAAACTGTCTGCAGACAAATGCCGGCTCCCTTGGCCTGTAAAGCGAGATGAGCGCCGCAACCCCAGAGTCGTCTGCGACTGGACTTAACTGTCAGGGGTCCTTTACCTTTACCTTTGTAATGAGAGGTGTCTTACTTCAAAAATAAGTTAACTGTTACTTTTCAGAACCTTTTTGTGGAAAGGAATTGGTGCTTTTTCTTGTTACAATAACTTTTCCTTAAGGTTATGGGATATATTATGAATACTTTCCCTTACTCCCGAAGCCAGTGAAAATTCAAATGACAACGATAGGAATTCTGTAGGAATTACTTGTACTGCAGGAGACTCCCATGACTGCTGTCAGTGTGAAGGGTCAGCACTGTAGCAGCTGCCTGGTACATAGCTTTGCAGCGCTTTAAGGGAGGAAAATTCAGCAAATCTGTTTCGATGAACCCCTGTCCCCTTTGGGCCTTCCTCAAGTGGAAAACACTTCTCCTTAGTCTTCAACTGCTGACACGGCTGCTCGTCGCAGTCTTTTCACATTTCCCAAGTCTGTGCGAGAAATTAATGCGGGCAGAATTTAAAAACAGAACTCTTATAAAATGTGGTGTTTCTGTTTGTGTGTAGCTTTGTATTTTTAGCATGGTGTTGGTATGCATATAGCATAATTCTCCTGTGGTAGTCTTGGTTTCTGGGTAGACGACTTAACGAAGTGGCCGTTCTGCAGATGAAGAGGCTGTTCAGCTGTAGATGTGTGTATACACACACATGTTGGGGGTGTGTGTGTGTGTGTGTGTGTGTGATTGTGTGTGCACACACTCGCACTCCCCATCCATAATAGTCGCTGAGCACAAGCTTATGTCAATAACATAAAGTGGTGGATCTGACCTTCACGTGCCATGAAGCAGATACCTAGATGCCCTGTCTGTATTGGACCTAAACCCTAACAACTAAAAAGTCTTTTTTTGCTCTTTTCCCCAGGCATATTAATGAAGATAAAAGGAAAACGGAAGCCCAAAGGCAGATTTTTGATGTTGTCTATGAAGTAGATGGCTGCCCGGTAAGTTAATAGTGAAGCTGAGCCTGATGCGTGGGGTGGAGTCCTTTTGTTAGACAGATATGACCTCTTGGTAGGGGGAGGAGGAGAAGAATAAATGTTAACTGGAGAGTCTTCTCACGTAACACTCCCAGGCCAGTGGGGTTGCTGTGGGCCCCAGTGACTGTTTGAAATATTGGTCCAGCTTTTCTCTAGCAAACCTGAGCTGCTTCATGCTCTACGTGCTTCTCAACAATTGTTAGGTCAGCTGTCTTGTGCTGTTTCATCTCTCTCTGCTTCAGGTTTTCAAAAAAATTATGTTTAACTTGCTACATGTTCAGGGTTTTTATTGAGATGAATGGGAGAATGAAGCTGCCCAACCCCTAATTGAACTGGATTATATGCTTGACAAGTTCTTAAAATAGGGTAGAGAAAATTAATTTAGAATTTTGATTGTACCATAAATTCCACCCTTTTTGGTTCTGCTCAAGAGTGCTAGAATATTTTTCCTGTTTTTGTAACTTGCAGCAGACTCCTGTATGTAATCAAAAACCACTGCAAGGCTTTATTGGACCCTAGGAGTAAGTTTTACCCTATGAGGTTAATTCTGCTTCAGGCTGGCTTTATATTGGTACAAGAACTGTAGTTTTCATAGTGCAAACTTCTAACATGGATTTCTTGCTTGCAATATTCTGTTGAGCTCCCCAACCCTGTTAGGTTGTCAGGGTACTTTGGATTCCTTCCATTATGAGTTCAGTACATCTCCTATGCATTTTGTTTTGCTTTCTTGACTCCTTCTTCCAAGGCTTCCACATCTCCCAATGAGTTAACACTGTGAAACCTAACATACCCCAATAGGTTAGGAGTGTGTTCTATGTTTTTGGAATGTGGTACCATTAACGACTAATTTTTTATGCTAAACTGGAGTAATTTTGAAATTGATCATTAACTTTATTTCCAGATACAGTTTTTGAAAGCATCTGCTGACCCTAATAATGCTGTAGGAAAAAATGTGTGGGGTTACAGAAACAATAAGCTGATGTACTGGAGAAGTATTCTGTTGTTGGGCAATGAGAGGATTCCTGTATGTGAGCTTTTGAAAGGGTTCAGTAAGGCAATGTTAAAAAAGGTAAAGGACCCCTGACAGTTAATTCCAGTTGCAAACGACTCTGGGGTTGCGGTGCTCATCTCGCTTTACTGGCCAAGGGAGCCGACATTTGTCCGCAGACAGTTTTCCCAGGTCATGTGGCCAGCATGACTAAGCCGCTTCCGGCAAAGCCAGAGCAGTGCATGGAAACGCCATTTACCTTCCCACCGGAGCGGTACCTATTTATCTACTTGCACTTTTTGGGGTGCTTTCGAACTGCTAGGTTGGCAGGAGCTGGGACCGAGCAACTGGAGCTCACCTCGTCGTGGGGATTCGAACTGCCGACCTTCCGATCAGCAAGCCCTAGGCTCAGTGGTTTAGACCACCGCGCCACCCACAATGTTACCTGCTGTGAAATCTAATCTGCAGAATAGCATAAATATTACCGCCCAGCAGGTTTTTGAATGTTATACAGATCTTTTAGGTTAAAAGTCTGCTCTGTTTAATTTTATTTCTTGGTGACAAAGCACCTTCCTGAACTATTCTGTTCTGTTTTTTAAATGAGCTTCTCCTATACCCCACAGGCCAATCTCTTGTCATCTCACCGAAGTCTAATTCAGCGGCTGGAAACAGTTGCGCTTGGTGACGACCTCTGTGACAGAGGGGAGCAGGTCACCCTGTTCCTTTTTAACGACTGCCTGGAGGTAAGTCTATAGATATTCATTTGGCTGTGACATTCTGGAATGACTTGCAACCCAGAGGAATAAATAGTAATCCAAATACTTGCAACCTACGAAGGACGTCTGGAACACTTTTTTTTTTGTCTTGACAGAAAGCTTTACGCTATATGTGCCACTCAGTCAGTTGGTAAGAACCACTGCACAAACTGTCAACGAGGAACACTTTATTTCTGCGGACTTAATGGTTGGTAGCTCGATACGGGGATTAGTGGAGAAGACAGAGCAACTTTCTGCTGCCATGTCTTACTATTAGTAGTGAAATATTTGCTGCAGGAGAGATGCTGCCACTGAGAAGCAAGCAGAGAGGCCTTTGAGTAATTCCTCCCCCGACATGAATTCTTGCAGAAATGTAGTACGCAGGCATCGTATGGGTTATTGACTTACGACCAGAGCTGTGCCCTAGAAAATTCTTCCGCAAGAGGCTGAATTTTGTAACCTGTATAAATTAGACAAGTTGAATAAACTTGCATCTCAAGTCATGACATTGAAGCTCTGCTCCTGAATCTATACTTGGTCACCCCTTTCTTTTTTAAGGAGCATCTGCTGGCTTGGGAATGCTGACGTCTCTTGCAATTTTGGGTCCTTCTGGCAGATGCTGGAGGTGGAAAGTTGTTAACAAGCCTCCCCCAGTTTTTAGATCAAAGATTTGGGCAGGGGGAGGTTGCTGATCAGTTGATTGCCATCTGTACATTTACTTGTGGTGGTAGTAGCAGCTCTGAAATAACTCTGTAGAGCATGAGACTCTTAATCTCAGGGTCATGGGTCCAAACACCACCTTAGGCAAAAAATTCCTGCATTGCAGAGGGTTGGACTACACGACCTGTGTGGTCCCTTCTAACTCTACCATTCTTTGATTCAAACTACAACCTCATCTGGCTGGTCTTCCCCTCATAGTTAATCCAGAGCTCTTTAAAATTGCAGTATTACAACCAAGGCAGTTTTATTGGTCTGTTGCATGTAGGAGCAGCACCTCCGACATCTTATTTACAAAACTCAGCATGATCCCATGCATACTTACATAGAAATACAACCCACTGTGTTCAATGGGGCTTTACTCCCAGGTAAGCATACGTAAGGTTACAATCTGTGTCAACTGAGGAAACTATTGCTGGGTTCATTGTTTCCTCCAGTCTAGTTGGCCGATGCTTTTGTCAAGTGTTGGCTTCTTGCACCTTCGTATTTGGATTAAACCAGTGTCTCATTTCTGTAGCTGAGTACTTGTTAACCGGAAAAAGAGAGCTGCTTTAAATCTCCCCCGCAGCCTTCTTTTTGCCGTCCTTCTCTGCTGTCTTCCCATCCCTAATGTCCACTTGATGCGATGCAAGCAAAAGAAGATTGCTTTTCACATCTTTGGGATTGATGCATCTTGGTTACTCTAGTGGTAGCTCATCAAAATCGGTTGGTCTCTTGGCGCCGCTTAGAATCCTGGCATTTGTTTCAAGTTCTCAAGACAGTGGCTCAGCGGCGCACAAAGTTCTCGTGGGGCTTATTTATATTTAATGTGAATAAATAACATGGCTGTGCCAGGTAAGTCTGTTTTGCTTCTGCTTAAGCTATACAAAATGTGTGCGTAAAGTGTCCACACAAGCAGTATAACCTGTAATTGCTGTTGGAAAGATACTGAGCTAGGGGAAAAGAAACTAATCAAGTTTCAGAGGCTTGAGTCTAGCATGGGGGAGGCCATAAAGTACACAGTTCATTGTAGTCTGTACAATTTGCAGCACCAGGGATGTGGAACTCTGCTTAAAAATCTGCCTTCAGTAGCCACAAGTTAGCTTGAACCTCGCCCTTGACCAGTGGGTTTAAACAACAACAACAATTTATTACTTATACCCGCAACAACAATAACAATAACAACAACAATTTATTACTTATACCCCGCCCATTTGGCTGGGTTTCCCCAGCCACTCTGGGCGGCTTCCAACAGGAGATTAAAAATACATTAAAACATCAGTCATTTAAAAACTTCCCTAAACAGGGCTGCCTTCAGATGTCTTCTAAACGTCAGATTTTATTCCTTTGACATCTGATAGGAGGGCATTCCGCAGGGCGGGAGCTACTACAGAGAAGGCCCTCTGCCTGGTTCCCTGCAACCTTGCAGTGAGGGAACTGCCAGAAGGTCATCGACGCCGGACCTCAGTGTTTGGACTGAATGATGGGGGTAGAGACGCTCCTTCAGGTATACTGGGCCGAGGCAGTCTAGGGCTTTAAAGACTTCAACCATGGCCCATGGAGCTGCAGTTGTCAAGATTGTAGCTGGGCTGTGTATAATGTGTTGTTTGGTTGCAGAATCCAGTTTTCTAAATCTGCTTTTACTTTGTGTCAAACAAAATCGGTCTTGTCAATCCCTGTCTAGCCCGTATGCTAGCATGTAAAAATATTTTTGTCTTGCCCTTTTCTGCTTTTTAAGAAAGAGCTTCACGGAGGCTAACTATAGTAAAAGGCAATATCAATAAAATCTCAAAAACATAAAGCAGCAACAAGTTTAGCAAATCAGCAAGCAGATGCCAGGTACACATAGTGTCCAGCTGAGATGTATGTGTCTATATTGGGGATGATTAACCTTTTTTGGGGGTGCTGGAGAGCCAGATTCACCTTTGGTCAGCTTTCTGGGGGCTTCATGGCTCTAGTGGGTGTAACTACCCCATACTCCTGTGTATGCACACACAGCTATGCAGATCAGCTGGGAGCTGTCACCCTTGCCCCACTCATGAAATGGTTGCTCTGTTGATTGAGTTGTGGGTGTTTTGCATCCCAACCCAGTACTCTGATGGAGAGCTTTAAATCTCTCTACCCACCTCAGTGCTATGTCTACTCCCCACCCCCCATTGCCAAAATTGGTGGACCCAAAGCTGGGCTTTACACACCCAACATCTAGACAGTATGAGCTTGGAGGACTCAAAGTGAAAGAGCTAGACATAGTCTCAGGATAGGAAGTTTTGCAGCCAGGCTGCCTAAATCAGAAATGCCAAGGCTTTCATATTCTCCAGCCGTGTGAGATGCAATAATGGGGCCTCCCATGAAGACATTTGACATACGGAGGCAGTCCTTAAAGTTCTCCAGGTTTTGGATCTATATTTGGCATGCCTAGATGCTAATGTAATGATGCTGCTCTTAATTTGGAAGCTGGTCTACGTTCTTTGAGCTGCCTGGCTTGCATGTGTTCCATTTACTTTTGGCTTTATTGTTGCCTTTTGCTTGCTCCCGGTTCCTTTGTATTTTAGGCTGATGATCTGTTCTTATTAAGTCTCCTTCCCTGGATGAAGGAATTGCTGCAAAAAAATTGTTTCAATTGGGCCCTCTCCTCATTTGTTGTCTATAAACTTGTTCACATTAAACCCTAGTTGCTTTATTATTATTACTATTATTTATTTATCCTCCACCCATCTGGCTGGGTTTCCCCAGCCACTCTGGGTGGCTCTCAGCATAGAGTGCAATAGTGCAGTGCAGTGCAGTGCCTGAACTGGGCTCATATCTTCACAGCAGTATATATGCTTGCTTGCAAGGTCCTTTCACAATTGAGGGGACTTAATTCAAAATGTATCTACTTGTGGGTGGAAGCAAGTACCCTTTATTTACAAGTGCCTGGTACAACGCACCTTTACTGTCCATATGCAATTCTGGAGTATTTTACAAGTACAAGACAAAAGAAGAATGTATGTGGTTTTTCAAGTGAACATAAAAACTGACTGTCTCTCAGGGAAAAATAGTGAACTTAGCATTTTGCAATAGAAACATGAATCTGTATGTTGGAATTGTTTAGGATTTTCAGAAGCTGTCACCAAACTTTCAGTTTAAATGTTTCTGGACATATAGGAGCTGGTTCTTTTCATGCTTCCTTTTCTTTTCTTTTTTTTTCAACAGATTGCAAGGAAGCGGCACAAAGTCATTGGTGGCTTCAAGAGTCCTCATGGCCATACCAGGCCACCAGCCTGTCTCAAGCACATAATCCTCATGCCCCTGTCTCAGATCAAGAAAGTACTAGACATCCGAGAGACAGAAGGTATGAACATTGGCAGTGGAATGTGGATTTTTGAGGACTAATAATGCAGAGTGATGGACTTCAAACGCTGATATGTTTTGGCACAGCTGAATAACAAGATAGCTTCCAAAGAGGTTTCACCTGGGGGCCAGGGAGCTGGAAGTAACCATTAAAGGGAGCAGTGAGAGAAGATGGTCAAATGTCAGGAGTTGGAGAAAATCACTCAAGGCTTTCAGAGCTCACAGCCCTTCAACGAGTGTTTCCATATGCCTTGGCAGAAAGCTTTGTCTAAAAATAAAGCTTCGCATGTGGGTGTATTAACCTTTTAAGAACAAAGATTGATACAACTGGCACTTGAAACTTAAACAGGAGTTAAACCCACAGTTCTGTCTTAAGATCCTTCAGCAGGCTTGTGTAACTTTCTCTAGACTATCATTTATACGGCTGCATGTTTCACTGAAATCAGTGTGGCTTCCTTCTGTAGAGAGCATTGTAATCTTCTTAATTTCCTGCAATGATGTGTGGCAGAGCATCATTCTAGGGTGCTGGAAAGATTCTCTTCCTGTAACTTCAGAAATAGTGTTCTGCATCAAGGTCAGCCTCTGTGCAGACCTGCTTGGTACAAACTTAAAGCTACCTAAAATTAAGGAGGAAGCTAAGGGTTATGTACACTTTCCCTATCTGCAAATACCCACTCTGCCTGGGTTTGACATGAAACCTTAACAGTTGCCATCCTGGATAAGAATGAGCCTTGTTGTCGTCATCTCGACAATGCTGTTTTAAATCAGGGTTGCAAAGTGGGTTTAAGAGGATTCCCAGGTTCATTTTAACTTAGCTTGGCGATTGCATGTAAAATTGCCAGCATGGTATAGAGGAGGTATGGGAAATCACTGGCTCTCCTTTCTCCTGAACTTCTGCTCCCTTCATCCCCGCCAATTGATATTGCTTGCTGAGACTCATGGGAGCTGTAGTCTTTTAACACTTGGAGTGCCAAATGTTCCCCACACCTGGTAGAGAGTATTGGCCTAGCGAGAGGAAGAACTTGGTTCAAGTCCCTGTTAGGCCATGAAGGCTGGTGGGTGATCTTGGGCCAGGCACTCGCTCTTGCACTCCAAGCCAAACCTTCATGACCTGGCTTTGATTGAAGGAGAGGGAAATAAGGTGGAGAGGCAACTTTAGTTCAAAGGCAGTGGAAAGTTATGCACAAAATCCTATGGCTCTTTCCTTTTTTTGTAAATAATTTTTATTCATTTTCCATTTTTTTAAAAAAAACTTTCATATGAATAACAAATCAAACCAAATATTTCCACATTCAAAAACAAAAAACAATATAGCCAATTATATAATCCGAATTAATTATTTACAATGGGACTTCCCGTGTTTTGGATTTCAAGAGTTAAATGGCCATCTTTCTGTTATCTTCACAAATTGCTTCACAATTTTCCAATCCTGATATTGACAATCTCCTCTCTCGATCAGTCAGTCACTGGTATAACTCTCTATCTTGTTTTATTTGACCATTCTTTTTTCTATAATCACACAGGTGGCTTTTTCCACATTGTTCTCGGTCTTAATATTTTGAAGCACAGTCCTCCTCAATGACCCCTCCTTTTTCTGCTGATTGTTGTTCTAATAGGCTCTGGCTCTTTCCTGATCCCTAAATTTCATTTTGTTCTACGTTTACCACACCATTCAAATACCTTGATTTACCCTCTCTTCACTCTAAGGTCCTTAGGAAAATTAGAACAATTTGTATTTAAAATGTTATGTGAGTTGTCGAAAGAAATAATCCCTGAATACAAGCAATAGCAGGCAGGATAATTTCACTAGGTATTCTCTCATGCCCGAGCAGTAACAGTGATTAAAAGCCAGGGCATAACTGCAAAACACAGGGTCTTTTAAAAGCATCATACACTACTGTGGTTATATGGTGAGGTTGAAAGGTTTGGACCTTTGTCACTGAAGGTGTGGCAATGCCATTCGCCTCTTGCTTCTGAATTTTGTGCAGTGTCTTGTTTGTTGTGGCTGAATGTGGATATTTATCTTCTGAATCTTTATTCTGCTCACACGGCTTTGTAGACTTCACTGTCCCCCGAGATGCTGTACCTTGTTTTGGTGACGGCAGACCTGTAATGGTTAAATAAAGCATCTTGCAGCTTCACTACTGCTTAAAGACCTTTGTTGAACCTCATCCCCTTGTTTTCTATGGGCGGGAAAACTGACCCACCTTATGTCCAACATGTGGTGTTTTCTCAAGTATTAGAAGTCCTGTGCACTGGTTCTCCATTGCAATGTGCAGGATGTGTTTTTAGACTTCCTTCTGTAGCCCACACACATGGCAGCTGAAATGGGGAGATGCTGCTGAGATGAATATATGAAGAGTCAGTTCTGTGCGGAGATGGCCTGCCCGCTTCTTTGATATTCAGGCTTCTAAACTTTGGTTCTTGTCCTGACCCTAGGACAATACTCAGTCATCCATGCTCCCTTCTTCCTCTAATAGTGAGTTGCTCAGATTGTTGACTGATCTGTTGCTGTTGTTTGCAGAGTGCCACAAAGCATTTGCGTTAGTTGTGCGACCACCGACCGAGCAGAGCAACTTGTTGTTCAGCTTCCAGATAACGACTGAGGAACCTCCCAAGGAGAACTGGCTGAAGATGCTGTGCCGGCACGTAGCCAACACGATATGCAAAGCAGATGCTGTAAGTTCTTTATATCAGAGCTGACGAGGGGGTTGTACCTTGAATCTGTCAGATCTATGTCAGATGGCTATGCCAGAACTAACAGGCCCACTGGTAGCATGTCTTGTGGCAAAGGTCTGCAAGATGGGACAACTTCTCAGAAGGGCTTGCTGCCAGTTCATCAAGGCTGTAATCTCTTGGAGACTGTATCTGTACTTGGTGAGCTTCAGCCAAGAAAGCCTCTCGAAGTGGATTACATACAATCAGAACAAAGCAGTCCTTACTTGCAGGCTTACAATCTAAAAACATGCAACACAATAGGGGAAAGGGGCAGGGAGGGAAGAGGAAAATCAAAATCAAAGCTCGGGCACCAGTTATTAAACAGTTGTTCCTAGAACATCCCCCTGGCACAGTTCAGGGGCAGGAGGTGCCTGATGGAGCTGTCCACAGAGCCACAACTCAGCATGTTTGGATTCAGAAAAAAACCCTTTGAGTTAAATGGCACTTAACTCCCAGGTAAGGATCAAAGCCGTACGAAGAAGAGCAATGCTCTTGTTTGCATGGTATGCTTGCCTGGAGTTATTGCCGTAACAGGTGCAGCACATCTGTGTTTGGAGTGCACTGTTGCACTTAAATAGGGGTGTGTAGCAGCTCTGTGCATACTCCAAATAAGGAGGTGAATTGGAATGATGTGGCCCATGATTTCATGTTTCCAAGTTGGGTCGTGCTGTTAACAAGCTATATTTTGGGGGGTCAGGGACCTCCTAAGCTGATTCACTTTGGGGCTTCTCTCCCCCGCCCTACAAGATGAAGCCTGATAAACCTCAGAAAAATAGGTGCACAGGGCCCTTTTTTCTTTTATGAGAAACGAAACCAAGCTGCCCAGAGCTTTGGAAGGGTGGGGTAGGGTGCGGGCATATCTTGTTTTGCTAGACAGCCAAGCTTTTAATCAAAGTGAATTCTTTTTCTGAATCACTCCAGTCGGTGATTGGGAGGGGGGAATGATGTTGAAGTAAATAAACCTCTCCATGTGGGTCATCTTTCTCTGAGCTTTGGCTATAGTAGCAGGACATATGGAGTTAGGTTATTGTGTCAGCCTGCTTCTTTCCCAGTTAGTCTTTTTCATAACAAGTAACCTGCTTGTCTGCACTTCTGCTGGTTTCCCACCCAGGGGCAGCTTCCTCATGCCTCCCAGCTTTCAAACTTGATTTCCCACAAAAAATAAAATAAAAAATAAAATAGAAAAATGATTTGTATTTCCCCACTCCAAAATGGGAAAGTCTGCTCCTGTGCACCTATGCTCTCAGAAGGGGCATTCATGCCTGCAATTCGCAGCTAATTCTGGCAGAAAATAAAGCTTAAGAGGTCTTTATTTATTTAAGGGGTCCCCGCAAAAAACCGCTGGATGCCTCTGCCTGAAATTTGGCAGGCTTAATGCACTCTGAAGGGGCTCCCTTGCCTACAAATTTCACCCACTTATGTGAAGGGGTTTTTTTTGGGAATGCTACAACAGTTTTTAGATTCCCCATATAGTCAGTGGGTGTGAAACAGAACTTGGGATCGAACAGATCAGATTTGAAAACCTGAAATAATGAATCCAATTATTCATTGTGGATTCAGAGCAGATTGGGTTGCTTGCAGACGCTGCCAATACAAGGTGAATTTTGTTGCCATTAATCACCCCTAATAAATAGTGTTATATAGAGATCTGCTTTGCCTGCCCACCTGTTTAGTATGAGGTAGCATACATTAAATGGCATAGTAAGTCATCTTTTCCAGGAAGCCTGTTGGGCCGTGAACGTTAACTATCTCTCTTGTTTTATAAAAACTCTAAAACAGCAAAATAAAAAGTACCATTAAAATAATTTAATCAAATAGCTTTGAGCAAAGCAATCATTCTTTTAATTTGTTGTTGATGGCTGCCTTGATGTCTGTTGGGAGAAGACAGAATGTGTGTGTGTGTTAAACAATTATTTTATTTCCAGCAGATCCTGCATGTTCACCATTAGGCTTTGGGTGATCACTTGATTGATTCATTCTTCTAGGGAAAGACGATTGCCTAATGTCAGTTGTGCATGTCTATGCTTACAAAAGTAAAAGAATGTGGCACTGGGACTCTGTCACTCAGTGGTTCCAGAGAATAAACCTATCATAAGGTGCCGTTTGGTTTGCATATTACTCACAACACACCCCAATTCTAAACATTCTGTATTTCAGTGGAGCTGATTTAGGGTTGCAAGTGCTCCAAGGGAATTTATTCAACTAAAGACATTGTTTTATATAGTATTCTATGTGTCTACTGCTTTGGTGTAGGGCAATGTCTTATTCACTGGTTTGTGTTTTTAGCCTTGCCCGATTCCTTTAACAACTGCATTTTTTGCTGTTGTCTGAAAAGGAGCAATGCACAAGTTCTTGCTCGTATGTAAGAGTTCTCTGTGGTCAGGACACCCAGCTGTCCTGGTGTGATGTTGGGGATGGGGCTAAAAGCACAGCATTGCCCTACGTATGAAAAACACACAGTTGTTGTCAAGCTGAAACCATGTACAAGTCCATTATATTGGATTCTTCTGACTGTACTTAGGATTCGACTCCTAAATGTACAAAAGAGCTGTCTTTGAATAGGCTTTTTCCTGGCAGAGCTAAATACAGTGGTACCTTGGTTCTTGAACTGAATCTGTTCAGGGAGTCCATTTGACTCCCGAAACTGTTCGAAAACCAAGGCACGGCTTCCGATTGGCTGCAGGAGCTTCCTGCACTCAATCGGAAGCCGCGTCAGACGTTTGGCTTCCAAAAAACATTCGCAAACCCAAACACTCACTTCCGGGTTTACGGCGTTTGGGAGCTGATTTGTTTGGGAGGCAAGCTGTTTGACTACCAAGGTACCACTATATCTTTTAAGACCTCTTAAAAACATGGAACATTTCATGGTTGAAAGTGTGCTGCTGTTGAAAAAGGAAGTGGTGTGTATTTTAGCTGCTGTAATAAACTCTGAATGTTGAGGGATCCCCATCACTAGGTAAGACTGGACTTAGGAATTGTTGCCACCTTGTCAGTTGAAGTCACAAACTTTCCCTTTTCCAGACTAAAGGGACTTTTTTTTCATAGCGATGTGTACACTGACTTCCATGCCCCACATGGTGGCAGTAAAGCCTTTAATTTTGCTCTTTGTTTTTCCTACCTGCTGGCTAAGCAGTAGAGTTCTGAAGGTTTGCAACTCCTATCTGGAAAGTTTTGTCTTTGGTAGTGAGAATCTGAGGACGGTGTCTGAGAATTTGAAGTCTGCTGTTGATTTTTGAAACGTGAATCTTTTACTCTGACGGTGGCTTCGCCTTCGAGTAAGTTCTCAAGCCTTCTTTCCTTTGCAGGAAGATCTCATTTACGCTACTGATCCGGATTCCATTGAAGTAAGCACGAAGGATGTGGACAGCACACTGAGCAGGGCATCCCGGGCCATTAAAAAAACATCCAAAAAGGTACGAGGTTTAACTAATAAAGAAATGCTATTCTGAAGCTATCTCCTCGCACCAAGCTTTTTCATTTGGGGGCAAAACCCATTCATTTCCCTTCCTGGTGACAAGTTTTATTGCACTGGAATATTTGAGCCTAAATGGGACACTTGCACATGCTCCACACATCAGGAGAGAATGAATGTAAACCACTGACAAATGTTTCCAGAGGTATATTGTGCAGTAGCCCTCAATTGTGTAAGGAGCTTTTAGCTGATGTATGTTGTCTTCTCTCAGTCTTTTACGTGTTACTATTCCAGCACAAACTTTGAGAGTTTGGCACCAGTAAAAAGGTCATAACTTTTTCATGTTGAAACAAATTGTGACAAATTTGAGGGGGTAGGGCCTTTTTAGTTTTGGGTTTTTGTTTTTGACAGTGAAAATGGGCCTTTTATGTCACTTCCACTATTTGGCATTTGATTCCACTATTTACAGTTCCCCCACCTTTCTGTATCCAGGGTGTGATTGCTTCTCTATGTATGATTCCTCCCCACTCATTCCTCTCAATATAGATGTTGATCCTGCATCTGAGGAAGCGAGCTCTAGTCCGCAGAAGCTTACACCATAATAAATGTGTTAGTCTTTTAAGTGCATTAAGAATCTTGGTTGGTTTGTGTTGGGGAGGAAAAAGTAATATGATGTTGTTTGACTAGCAAATCTATAGCGATATGAAGTGTGAGGCTGGAATAGGCATGAATGGGAACAAGATGGTTGGATGGCTTTACAAGATGGTTGGATGGCTTTATAAGATGGTTGGATGGCTTTAAAGGAACATTAGGCAAATTCATGGAGGGTAAGGGTTAGCCTCCATGGCTATATTGCCAGAGGCAGTATGTCTCTGAGTACCAGTTGCCAGGAATCACAAATGGGGTGAGCACTGTTGGACTGCAGATGTGTTGGACACATCTGGCTGGCCGCTGTGAGGAGAGGATGCTAGACTAGATGGGAATCTGGCTTGATCCACCAGGGATGTTATGTTCTTATCAAATATATTGAATATATTTAATCCTTGCTGCTTTGGCTAGTGGTAAGCAAAATGCCACAAAATGTATCAGCGTAGAACAGCAGAAGAAGCCTTACTGAAAAACGTGGAATCGATTTCCCCGTATTTTAAATAAGGGTAACACTGTAGTCTTTCCTACAGTTTACTTAACGTGGTTCTTAAAACTCTGCAGGTCACACGAGCCTTCTCATTCTCCAAGACACCAAAGAGAGCGCTCCGGAGAGCACTGATGGCGCACAGCAGCGTCGATGGAAGGACTTTCTTCCCAGCTAGTGAGAATTACTTAGGAGGACGCGTTGCCAGTACTTCATCGCTAGCTGTAAGTGACTTTTCCCAGAGAAGTCTTGAATAATATAAAAGCCCCGAGTGGGGAGGCTGGCTCCTGCACTGTTCTTATTTCAATAATGAAGCTTATTGTAATCATGTCTGTTAATCTCTCTCCGGAAGTCATAACACCTGTGTGGTCAATGTAATTAAAAGATCTCAACTGTAGTAGAGAAATCCACTCTAAATGTCAGGCAGAAGTGAGCATGCCTGGAGGAGATAGTGAGGAATGTATCTTACAGAAGAAAATCTGCTCTCTTGTGACCAATTAAAGACATTTGAGAAAACAAAACGTTTCAGAAACTGAGCTACGAAGGTGCTCAGAGGTTCTGCAGCCATGAAAGAGAGAAAGATCTGAGTGCAGGAAATTCCTTTTTGGTAGATAAAAGTTGGGTTGTGGGCTAGGGTGCATGGGAAGCTGCCTTATGCTGAGTCAGGCGATTGAGCCCAACTCAGTATAGCCTACACTGGCTGGCAGCAGCTCTTCAGGGTTTCACATGTGGTCTGTCCCAGCCCTATCTGGAGATGCCAGGGTCTGAACCTTCTGCACCCTGAGCAGATTCTCGAACACTGAGCTATGGCCTTCCTTTTGGGGAATTTGGATCTTATTAAATGTCTTGTAAGGGATGCGGGTGGCGCTGTGGGTTAAACCACAGAGCCTAGGACTTGCCGATCAGAAGGTTGGCGGTTCGAATCCCTGCGATGGGGTGAGCTCCCGTTGCTCGGTCCCTGCTCCTGCCAGCCTAGCAGTTCGAAAGCACGTCAAAGTGCAAGTAGATAAATAGGTACCGCTCCGGTGGGAAGGTAAATAGCATTTCCGTGTGCTGCTCTCATTCGCCAGAAGCGGCTTAGTCATGCTGGCCACATGACCAGGAAGCTGTATGCCAGCTCCCTCGGCCAATAAAGTGAGATGAGCGCAGCAACCCCAGAGTCGGCCACGACTGGACCTAGTTGTCAGGGGTCCCTTTACCTTTAAATGTCTTGTGGTTATGCGTTCTGGCAAAAAAGGGCTTCCCAGAAAAGAAGAAAGAAAGAAAAAAGAAAAGTGACAAGGAGTAGTTAAAAAAATTACAGCTATAAAGATTAATCAAAAGCATGGGGTGGAATGACACTCTTGAATCATATAGATAAATGTACATTTGTACTGTTAGTCCCTTTGGAGGAGTTGCGTTCAATGTTTTGTGATGGCGTCTAGCAGTGCTAGGTGAATGAAGCCAATGAAGGGTGGCTGGCCTTGTCTCCACAGCAGGGCTGCTTGCTCCTCTGATGAACTGTTCCGCTAACCACAACAAGCACAGCCAAGTTTTCCTTTTCTACATCAGGCCGTAAGGGAAATAACCTTAAGAGGGTGTCCTTGCACCGTAACAGCACTTGAAATGGGAATGCTCAATATCTCTTGAAAACACAATTTGGTGCTGCCATCCTGCCAAGCAGTGTCTGCCATTCTAAACTGGATAGATAGACCTCATTCCCAGAACATACATAGTTCTCCAGCTGTTGGGAGCGGGAAATTTCTTTTCTCTGCTCCATTGCATCAAAACCCATAAAATGTCACAGTTCTCTGCTTAGTTTACCTGATCCCACTTTTACTGATATTATGAAAGCAGCTGCATGTGGTGTTGGTACTCTGGGTGAGCCTCTTGGAGCAGAGGGGGCTGCAAGCCTTTGAATAGAATTTTTGCAGACTCTACTCCAAAAGATTTTTTTTGCCCAGTGGAGGAAAGGGTGTGGATGTTAGCTTTGTAGATGTTAAGAAAAGGGGGCTATTGTTAGATGAGTAACTAGTTCTTTCCTAAAAGTGCAGGCGATTTGTTGGGCTGAACCTGTCTCTGAACTGGGAGATAAGGCTCAATATAGCCATGATGGATATGCTGGGTGGTTTTGAACATGTTCCTATGCCATCCCTGAAATGGCAATGTTGACCAAATCATTTAATGGCTGCTATCGCAGGGGTTGGGACGCGGGTGGCGCTGTGGGTAAAACCTCAGCGCCTAGGGCTTGCCGATCGCATGGTCGGCGGTTCGAATCCCCGCGGCGGGGTGAGCTCCCGTCTTTCGGTCCCAGCTCCTGCCCTCCTAGCAGTTCGAAAGCACCCTTAAGTGCAAGTAGATAAATAGGTACCGCTTTATTTATTTATTTTTTTAATGATATTTATTGAAAATTTTTAAAATTACAAAAAAAGACAAAACAGAGAAAGAAAGAAGAATCAAAAAAGAGAAAAAGAAAACAAACCACATCCAACAATACAAATTCAAAAAACAAAAATACACCACAAACATATAAAAATAAAACCAACATTCTCAAATCTTCAACTTTCATTACCTTCTTTCTTTGACCTCCTCCTCCTCCCTTTTTTTGTATCCCAGTTATTAATTATCGCAGCAAATCCTTTCCATATTTCATAATATTCTGTCATTACATTACCTTTATCTATTTTCATCTTATCTTATAAAAAACCTTAAAACTTAAATCTTATTTTAAACATTTTTGCTAGAGCCAAGTAATTTCGTTCCAACATTTTTCTAACAGTCATCAGTTTTATAAAACAATCCTAGTAATAAAAAAAAAGAAATAGAAACAATCCAATCTTCATCCAGCGTCCCTTCCTCCTGGTCCCGGGTTTTGTCAGTCCTTTTTATCCCATCGATCTGGCGCATTAACCTGGTAACCTTATATCCGAGGCCCTTAAGTCCCTTCCATGTCCCTTCCGCAGCTCTTCTTCATATTCACCTTCCACTCGTGGGAACTCCAGCTTGGTAATGTTTTTGACCCTTTTCAACAAATCAGCCCCTTTTCCATAGTCCAAACGAAACTCCATGTAGTATTTAAAGACCTGTTTCAGAATCCCTCCAAAGTTGAGAGCCCCCACAGCTCCAAACATCTCACAGCCCATTGCCAGACTCGGAAAGTCCAAAAATCCCTGCATAGGGGGGTCTATCCAACCCCCCATTTCCAAATCAGTCCAAACTTTATCTTTCCTAATCTGGCTTTTTCCAAGTTCATTTGTCAAATCCAAAAGCTCAGGTTCCTGCTGGGCCGCAGCTCCCTCCATCTCTGGCGCCCAAGATTCCGCAACATCCTCTTCTCTTATCTGTTCTGTCAGGGCACACTCCTGATTTAATTCCTGAGTGGGCTCCATATAGTTTCCCACTGCCTGTTCAAAAATTCTGGCCGCATTAGTCATCAAATCCGTCTTCTCAGTTAACTGTTCCAGTAGAGCATTTATTTTACAGAGAGCACACAACAGAGCTTCTGAATACATTGTCCTACAAGGTCACAAGCCTTTTCCCACAATTGTAATCTATGACAGCTGCAAGCTCCCTGGAATTAGTTACAGTTTCCCAGTCTCCCTTTAGGGGGAAAGCTTCTAATTGTTCTTGCAACAAAGTTTCTTTTTGGAGATATTTTGTCAATATTTGTTCCTTTAAAATGCGAAAGGAAACATTGGAATCACTATGTTTCTCTTCTTTTAGCTATCTGTCAAAAGCGTTTGTCTCTGGTCAATGAGCTTCAAACGTCAGTCCTGACACCCCGCTCCAGGATCAGGACGGTGGAAAATTACTTTACTTTAAACTCACTTCTGCAGGTTTAAACAGTCCGAAAAAGATCCCCCTTCTTCTCCTGCTGTTGAAGGGGGGTTCGAAGATTTTAAATGATGAAAGCCGATTCTTTAGAAGTGATTTTCTAAGCTCTAGTTTACGTTGTCTTTGCTTTATTCTATCTACAAAGAAACGGAAGGCTGACTTCCTGTTTAGACCTTCCCGTTTCAGTACCAAATTGAAGTAAATTTTTGAATCCAATTCCTTTCTGCTCGCAAATCCTTGTTTAAAGTCCAATTTGTTCAAAGTTTCAAGTACTCACGGGTGCTTATTTTAGAAGCCAAATTGTCCCAGGAAAAAGGCAGCGCTCTCCGGCAACGGCTATGCGGCTTCGCTCCACGGAAATAGCACTTGACTCACAGCACTGCGCCGCTTCCCCCTCTTCGCTTCGGAGCCCATTAGTGGGTTCCTTTGCGGGTTGGGGGGGCGCTAAGGGTGCCCGCCGAGTCCCATGGTCACAGGCTTCATCCGCCTGTGATTTTTAAAAGGGTCCCCGCTTCGCCGTAGCGGAAAAGACCCTTTTTGCGTGGAGCTAGTCCCTCCAGTTCAGAGGGAGTCCGCCATTGCCGATGGCGCCACCCCGGAAGTCCAAATAGGTACCGCTTTATAACGGCGTTTCCGTGTGCTGCGCTGGTGCTGGCTCGCCAGAGCAGCTTCGTCATGCTGGCCACGTGACCTGGAAGTGTCTTCGGACAGCGCTGGCTCCCGGCCTCTTAAGTGAGATGAGCGCACAACCCTAGAGTCGGACACGACTGGCCCGTACGGGCAGGGCTACCTTTACCTTTATCGCAGGGGTAGCATAGAGACCGATTAAGACTGACCTTTAAGCCCAGTAATCTCCAGTTCAGTCCTTGTCTCTGCAATGTGCTCACCCAATGACCTTTGCCAAACTGGTCAATTTTATTGGCTTTTGGTCCACTCATAGACACTTCACTTGTAATATTGGCATTTATTGTTGCAATGATGACTGTAATGAAGTATGCAACTTATTCCACGTACTGCTAAGTATTTTCATGGAAGATGAATGAGCAAACATGGAGATAGCCACTGAAGATCTAGGCCATATCGTGCCATTTTTTAAAAAATCTACTCTTGCAATTTAAGCACAGTGAGCGCTTTATAATTTGGATGTACAGTGGTGCCCCGCAAGACGAATGCCTCGCAAGACGGAAAACCCGCAAGACGAAAGGGTTTTCCGTTTTTGAGTTGCTTCGCAGGACGAATTTCCCTATGGGCTTGCTTCGCAAGACGAAAATGTCTTGCGAGTCTTGAGATATTTTTTTCGCTTTCCCCCCCCTTTATCTAATCTGCTAAGCCTTTAATAGCCTTTAATAGCCTTTTAGCAGCTAATCCGCTAAGCCTTTAAGCCTTTAATAGCCGCTAAACCGCTAATAGCGCTAATCCGTTAAGCCGCTAATAGGGTTGCTTCGCAAGACGAAAAACCGCTAGACGAAGACTCTCGCGGAACGGATTAATTTCGTCTTGCGAGGCACCACTGTACTTTGATATATAAACTAGGTCTGAAGGCTTAAACTAGGTGGTGTCATACACCCGCGGATCTCTTCTTAGAGCCAGAATTGCTTTAGTGCCCCCCCGTTCTCCCACTCTACAACACAACAGGCATTTCCCAGCAGTAGAATGTCCTTGGGTTGAAAGAGACTTTTGTTTTGGAAGGTATAAATTACTGAAATACAGAACAGAGGGATTAGTCATACAGGTGGAGCATCGTAATCTCTGAAAGGTAAATCTAGTTCAAGCACATCTTGGACTGAAGGGCTCAAAGGAAGCAGTTAGTACGTTGTCCTTGGCTTGTCAGCCTGGCCAGGCTCTTCCTTAATCTAAAATAAAATGGTACGGGGAGAAGCACAATGGGAGATCGTGATAGATCTGGACTGAATGCGATGTGTGGATTAACTCTCTGTTCCCCTCTTCCCACAATATTTTTAGATTACTCGCTGCGCGTCTACGTACAGTTTATGTGAACCAGTTAAGCACATTGTTAGTGTGCAGCGTTCCAACTCCGTTGATGGGAACTCCCCGAGCTCTAGGCCTCGGCCTCTGATAGCTGCTTCCCACGGTGTAGAAGGGAGAGTTGCTTCCAGCTCTGACAGCCTAAACACCTGTTCCCTGCCCAGTCCTTGCCCAGTCATCAGCACCACCAGAGAGGAAGCGACTGATGACCAGAGGGCCGCCTAAAGTGAGCTCTGCCACCTCCTTGTTGGGCACTTCTCGGAGGCAAAGAGACTGGCCTTAAATAAGGCCTACAGTCTAATATTTTCCAGGTGCTGGGCCTCTCTTAAGCACTCTTTCACTTCTGTCCCAAAATGCTTGAATTCCTTCATTCAAATTAATGGTGTTTGCATGGTCACCACTGATACTGATCTTGCTCTGGGTTTCTTTCCATGTTTTCTGGCATTTTAAGGTACATATGCTTTTTTAGAAAACAAAACTATGTGGCTGTTTACTTGAGAAAAAGGTAGCTTTGACATTTGGAAGTTCTGTCCATTCCTTCAATCTCTTGCAATGGGTATGTGGCAGAATTACTAAGATAACTGGACATCCTAAAAGAAGTCATTTGGCTAAAGTGACCTGCAGGGCACTATTTTTGGGGGTTAGGAGCTCCTATAAAATAAATTCTTGCACCAATTACAATACCCTTTGCCTGCTGCAAGCTGTCAATATTTTTAAATGACCTTGAAGCTTGCCCTATCCAAAAACAAAACCTTTGAGTTGTATAGCGATTGTGGATAATTGTGATACAGTTGTAAAATGTATAGCGATCTTATAATAGTCCGTGAGGGTTGTTCTATCTTTCTTGCCCTTCTTTTAGACGCCACTTTGAAGGCACGAAAATGCAGCGAGGGCAGAACTGCTCTTGCATACGTTTAAGTAGAAAGCAATGCCTCATCTTTATTTCTCTTGAGGCTTGGCTACATTAGAAAACCTTACATGTCGAAAGGCTGAGTTGGAGAAGCTGCTGCTTAATAGAAATGCAACACACACACAACCTCTCAATAGTGTTTCTGAAGACGTATGTCCGCCTAACTTGCTGACACTTTGAAAACCTGGATTTTAAAGCGGGGAAGATCTCTGCTTCCTTGTGATCCCCTTGAATCCCCCCTCCTTTTCCAGGCACACATTAGAAGTATTTCTTCCACGGGAGATGTATACACTTAATATTTCTTCTTTTCTTTGAACAGGGCATCCACTCTCCGTCCTTGATCAACCTGCCATCAGTGTTTGAAAAGAGGAGCCATACGTTAAGTCGGTCAACTACTCACTTAATATGACATGGACAGGAAATGGAGTTGCGACTTACAATTTTGACTGACGGAAAGTGGTCTAGCTTTTTGAAGTGACCATTTACTGACATGAACGGTGGTACTTAGTTAGCACTTAGTGGGAATTAGTAAGCGTTTTAGATAACACTAAATTAATCACCAAGAGTTGTCTGATGTGCCTACTAAACAACTGAAGTACTCAACCTTGGCTTGGAGAGAACATATTCCTTTGCACAAATCATCCTATTGGCATAACGGAAATATTCCGCTTAGTGTAAACATTGCGCAGTGACGTTATGAATAAACCAATGTTGGACCTGCCTGCGGATATTCAGAAGTTGCTCACTGATGCCTGCACTGGCTGAGGATTGCGGATTTCGCTTTTAAAATAGTGTTTGTATGTTTACAGGCTGACAGTTTGAATTAACCATTGCATAGACCAATATCCAAAGTGAAACACTTGCTTACTGTTTAAAGTATAAATCTGTTTTTTTAAAGCCTAAATTATACTTCAAGCATGATGAAAGTGCATCGGTGGCAGTGGTTTAGTGGAAATATGCAAATGGTTGGCCCACATGTCTGTTGGTCTGACGCTCTTTAGCTGCTAGGTTTTACTGTTGCCCAACAAAATGCAAAATCACCTGAAGTGGAAGCCCCTAGAAAATCACTGTACTAAATTGTATTTATAATTTTTGAATGGGGACCATTTTTTTAAAATATAAAAAAGCTATATCTAAAACTTAAGTGAAACACTTCAATTTCTCAATATACTTAGTTTTTGTGCACAGATTTCGTATGGAGATGAAAATGTAGATCTGATTTCAATATCTACAGCTGCTATTTTTTATTATTCAAAGGCTTTCATATAAAAATGTTCACCTTGTTTTCTTTAGGGTTTTTTTTATATAGTGTTTTCTCACATCATAAACTTTTTAAATATCAAGTTTTCAGGCTATACTTCTAAACTCCCTCTGAAAATTAAGTTTCTGCATACAATAAACTTGGTTTGTTGCTGTCCATATATGGGGGTTGGAGTGGGTGGGATTTCTAATTTCCCATTTTCTCTTAACCACTGACTGCTACTAATAAGTGTAACCTGTGCCACTTTTTTTTTACTACTTGTATCTTTTACAATTCTATACTGGCAGAAACTTGTGTAAATAAATAGAGTGGTTTGTGTCGCTTATCTTTAATTTTTCATGTTTACCCCTGCAGATCCCACCCTCCCAAGTTCATTGAATAATTTTTGCAATATCCTAGCAACGCAAACAACGTGCATCCTATTCAGCTGCTTTTGAGCATTTCTTAGAGTGGAAAATTCACCAAGGACATGTCTATTACTACTTACTTTGAACAATGAGATCCTCTCCCTGTTGAATTGCTCCTTAAACTTCATTCCTTCTTCAAAGAGAGAGAAGACTGAGGGTCTGGAGACAACAGCGCTGCAGAGATGACAATACGCAGAATCTACTGGGTGGGAATGGAAAAGCTTTTGTGGCATTATGGGTGCTTGCCCAGTAATTGTGAGTGCCAAAGCTTTTCTATGTCACAATTCTAAAATGCCCAAATGTGAAGGGTTAGGGCCTTCAAAGTGCACAGAAACAAGCAAAGTCCGTGAGACCTTGGGATTGCCATCACCCAGCCCACTTGGACCGTGTGCTGTTTGAGGAACGGCAGTTCCTGGTTAGTAGAGTGTACCCCTCTGTTCAGCCGACCATTCTCTCCTTTAAGTACTTGCTACCACCAGACATCCTGCCAACCTAGCAGTTTGAAAGCACCTCAAATTATTATTATTATTTATATCCCACCCATCTGACTGGGTTTTCCCAGCCACTCTGGGTGGCTCCCAACATAATAATAATAATAATGTGGTAAAACATCAAACATTCAAAACTTCCCTAAACAGGGCTGCCTTCTGATGTCTTCTAAAAGTCAGAAAGTTGTTTATTTCCTTGACATCTGGTGAAAGGGCGTTCCACAGGGAGGGTGCCACTACCAAGGAGGCCCTCTGCATAAGGGGTGTACAAGCCAGTCGTTTCCAGCCAGTTCAGTTTTCTGCTTCTATCTTTAGATCTTGAAATGCTTAGTAAACAAGAAAAAGGAAAAGGAAAAAGAAATTGCAGTGTAAGAGCCCTTTTAGCGCATAGCAAAGGGCAGCTCTCTTAACTCCTGGGGATAACTTATAAGCAACAGGTACTCTCACAACTGTTCCACCACCTCTGTTCAGAAAAGAACACAGATTAATCATCATAGTCCATAAATGCTTTAATAGCTTGCAGTGAGAATATATGCCTCTTCAAACAGCACTAGGAACTTTAAATAGAACCGAGTGACTGGAACAGTAGAGTACAGTGCTGACATAGGGAGAAAGATGTTTGCCTTTAAGGTCGTAACTAATTCCACCCTTCAACAAATCTCACCCATTTCATCAGGAGGGTTCCTAACCCTAAAAAGGTGACAATTTCAATAGCAGAATTTGTTACACTGCCAGACTGTGGGTGGGCAAACTATTTCAGCATTAAGAAGACTGCTCATCGTGGGACAAGCCACAGTTTGCACATCATTAGCAGGTTTCTTTTTTAAAAAAACCCACAAAAAACTACTGCTATATAAGACTTCGTTTCTTGTCTCCCAGCACCACACAACCTATTGTTAGAATGTAAAGCTTGAAGTTAAAACTTTTGTGCCACTTTGTGGAGCCAAGAAACAAATGGTCCTCTTCTTTTTGGCAGCTCCTGCCTTTAGAAAGCTGCCAGTCTATCCAACCTATCGTTGCCTTGCGTACTATTCTTTCACCGGAGCCATGCTGTTTTTAAATAGGTTATTTTAGAATTCCTCAAGAACCACAGACCAAGTCCATGGGAGCTGAAAAGAAGTTAAGAAATAGTTGGTGCAAAATACAATATATTGCAACAACGGTACCTAATAATATTACTATGCAGGCTTATTTCACGTGTTTTAATGCACAATTGTTGCAATAGCTTTTATTTTTGTTAGCATTAATTATTTTTAATACTGGCTTTTGGGTTGTGAAGTTTTTGGACTCCATTTTCCTGGTCTACTTGTTTGGACTGTTGCTTATTATATGTGGATGTGCTTGCTTTTCCTGTTTGTTGCAGATCTTGCTGGTTTGTCCATTGGAGATTACAAGGCTAACTAGCTTTGGACCTGCTCAAAAATTACAGCAGTGAAACTCTGTAGTGGATATAAGAAATTGAACATCTCTTGTCTGAGAGTGGGAAAATTAAAAGCTCCATACCTGAGACTGTTACCTAAGGGGGCTGCATGTGATTGACTAACTGGCTTTCCTTTCCTTACCCCTCCCTCTCACAAAGGCACAAATGTAACTGGGAATCACAGACATTTATTCTACACTGGCTCGCAAAACAGAGTGTTTACAAAATATAAGTCTGGAAGAACCTTTGGTCTGATTCCTTCGATCCAAAATCAACAATCTCTTGTGACTGAGAAGTGCAGCGCTTATATGGAGCACTCTGGTCTCATGAGGAAAAGGGTGGGATTGTTTGTTTCATAAAATGTATATTCCGCTCGATTGTAGGGAAAACAAAGCGGCTTGCAAAAAAACCCCAAAACATACACACCATAGAATTATCACTAAAATAATTTTACAGCCATAACTTAAAATGTACAGAAAATGGCAACCACAATAGAACAGACTAAAAAATTAAAACTTCTTGTTCTTAATTCTTCCCACTATAAAAGCAGGGGGTTGTTAGCCTTCTCTTGGCTGGGTTTTTTACTTCCATGAGGGATGCATTTGATCGATGAAAGATAGTTCTGATACAACATAAGGTTCTCATTGAAGGTATTTCCTTATGTGAAGGTTTAGGTAGTATTTCAAAGAGAACTGCACCACTGTGTTTGAGCATGACTATTACATGCATGTGATTTGGGGTGACCTATTTAATTTTTATTTTTTTTTGCCCGAAGGTTATTTGTTCCAAATTATCACATGCTTTCCCCTCTGGAGAGTGCTGCAATGCAGAAAAAAACCCAGCTCTCGATATTCTGCTCTCTGTGTTGTGTGTATGTGTGAGAGAGGCCTGTAGATCCATCCTGGTATTAGGAATCTTCCAGAGTTGGTGAAGCTTAATTTGCAAAACAGGAGGTGGCAGACCTCCAAGCTTGATCTACTCTCTTGAGAATGTGAGATCAGTGGTTATAAACAAAATGTGCTTCTTTAATAACACTTCATTTAAATTTAGCATGCACAACACACATTGCAAGGGCTGTTTATGCTGAACAAATATATGGAAATTGAATATTTGTTTGCATCCATGGTGCTTTAAAGGGGTAAGTGCTAAGCGATGGATGTGTGCTCTTGTGACATGGCACACTTAGTGGTATATGAACCTCGATGACAAGCTGATGAATGAGAGTCCTCTTGTGATGGAAGAGACGCTCTTGAGTTAGAAACGCTATTCCAGCAGAAATGGAAAATGGCTAAAAGCATGATCTGTTGTGTTTTGGTCTCCCATCAATGTCAGAGTTTGCTCGTCTGTTCACTCCTGCTTAAGCCTCCCAGTGTACAAAGCATGTGGCACTAATCTGGTGCTCAGGATCACATGCATGGGGAAAGCACTAAAAGCAGCATTTGATACAGAATCCAGCTTTCTGAGAATCTTGACTTCAATGTTTTAAAAAGGCAAGTTTCTAGCTTGTGTGGCTGAAAGGGTATGGGCGATGCCTAGTGGAATCGTGGAAGCTAGCAAGATGACTCACTTAAGATTTCATTGTCCTCCTCCCACTCCTAACTAGCAAAACTTGTTGTTGTTTAGTCATTTAGTCGTGTCCAACTCTTCATGAACCCATGGAGCAGAGCACGCCAGGCACTCCTATCCTCCACTGCCTCCCACAGTTTGGTCAAACTCATGCTGGTAGCTTCGAGAACACTGTCCAACCATCTCGTCCTCTGTCGTCCCCTTCTCCTTGTGCCCTCCATCTTTCCCATCATCAGGGAGTCTTTCAGGGAGTCTTCTCATGAGGTGGCCAAAGTATTGAGTCTCAGCTTCAGGATCTGTCCTTCCAGTGAGCACTCGGGGCTGATTTCCTTAAGAATGGATAGGTTTGATCTTCTTTCAGTCCAGGGGACTCTCAAGAGTCTCCTCCAGCACCATAATTCAAAAGCATCAAAACTAAAGGATGTCAAACAAGTATTTGTTTAGATTGGGCAGCCTGCATAATCCTTCATTTTGCATGATCAACACACAGTGGTACCCAACTAAGTCTTACTCGGCACGGACCCACTTAAGTAAGTGGACGAAAGAAGGTTGTTGACTTCAGTGGCTGTATGCTGAGAATGACCAACATTGGATATCACCCATAATTTATTTTGGTTGTAGAATGAAATTTCCCCAAGACTCCACAAGCATGAAAAGAAAGCCCCAGAGTTGCTAGCATATTCCTCGCTGACGCCTTCCAATCATATGTGAAGTGGCTTTCACTTAGATCCCTTTAGCTAAAGGATGTTTGTCCTTGAGAACAGACCAAGGGAAATATGGAGCTGCAAGTATGAAATATTGTAAATGCTACTCCAGCTACACAAAGCCAAGCAGCTTAATTTAAATCACCAGGGCTATACTTGATCCAAACAGGGCATACACTATGCTACAGATGTGTATAGGTGTTTTACTAATTTATTTCCCTTCCTGTTCAAGTTTTAATTTTGTGGTGTAGATAAGACTCTAAATTCCATAATATAATCCAGTCCTCTCTGCCCCTATTTCTCTCCCTGCATAACCTGAGGAATTGAAGGCTAAAAGGCCCCTCCATCATTGCCCTATTCTGCTTAGTACAGAGCTGAGTCGGAAGAACCAAGGAAAGCTTACTTTTTCAGAATATTGTGGGGTGGTTTTTTTTGTTCTCTTATAAGTCCTGGTGAGCTGCTGTGTGCACTTGTCTTGTCCTTTTCCTCATCCGGAAAGCATAGCATGCTCAGCATTAACCTAGTTATAGAGTCTTCTAGACTGGAGTGGAGTGGAATATAAATCATACGGCTCGGGAGTTTTGTTTCGTGCACCTTTTCAAAATGACGGAGCCTGCTTGCTGCTTGTTGCCGTTCAGAGTGGTGGGGAGGGGGGAGAGAAAGAGAAGATACTAACTACCTCTCAGCATCAGTGTCCTTATAAATATGCAAACTCTCCCTTTCTTTGCCTAAAGAGGAAGTGATTTATTGACTATATTGGATGGGAAGTGCCTCCATTGCTTTCTGCTGCTCTGCGATGGCAAAGATAATATTTCGGTTACTTCTGCAGCATCTCAGCCTGGGGTGAAAGTAAACATGAGCACAATTGATTTCCAAAAGAGTCCTGGGTCCCCCACTTTTCTCTCTCCTCTGCACTGCACTGTGTTACAAGTGGAACGGCGAACGAATCAGGCTCCCAATTAAAAAAGTAGTGGAGGCTCGCACCTTCTCAGATCAGAAGTTTCTGCTAGGCTGTGAACACTAGCAAAGCTCTATGGGTAACAGTCTAATTATTTGATTTTTTTGTTGGTGCTGCTGTGGACTTGAAACAGTTCACAGCTATGGGAGCAATGGCTGGCAGCCTATTAAGGACATAAGACGAGCCCAGCCAGACCAAAAGCTGATCTAGTCTGGGATCCTGTTGCGTGGCCAATTGGATGTTTCTAGGAAGCCCCCAAGCAGGACATAAAGGCAATAGTCCTATCCTGCTGCTGTTCCCAAGAAACTGGTACCCAGGATGCTGCTGACTGCACCTGGAGGTTGCATATAGGCATCCTGACGAGTGATGGATTTGTCTTAATCCCCCTTTTAAAGCCATCTAAGCTGGTTGCTTAGAGATAATAAGGGGACAGGGAGCATCTTTGTTCCAAACGTTCCGGCTGGAGCTCTGTCCTTGCATCTGGTGTCAAGTTTGCTGAAAATGCAGAGGATAGACAGGGTTCGAGGGTTTGGGGAACAAATATCTTGTTCTCATCCTGCCCATCAAACTGATGAGAAGCTTAATCGTTAATATTTTAACTGGTTTTATTTTTGAGAATTAATCAACCCATGGCACATTCTGTTATTGCATTTCTATGGCGCTGTGGGTTAAACCACTGAGCCTAGGGCTTGCCAATCAGAAGGTCAGCAGTTCGAATCCCCGCTACGGGTTAAGCTCCTGTTGCTCGATCCCTGCTCCTGCCAACCTAGCAGTTTGAAATCGAAGTGCAAGTAGATAAATAGGTACCGCTCCGGGGGGAAGGTAAACGGCATTTCCGTGTGCTGCTCTGGTTCGCTAGAAGCGGCTTAGTTATGTTGGCCACATGACCCGGAAGCTGTACACCGGCTCCCTCGGCCCATAAAGCCAGATGTGTGCCGCAACCCCAGAGTCGTCCGTGACTGGACCTAATGGTCAGGGGTCCCTTTACCTTTACCTATGCCCCCTGTTAAAGGTACCTTCGCTAATATGGTGCCCTTCGTATATTCTGAACCATGTCTCTAGCCATCCCTGACCCTTGGGCCATACTGGCTGGGGCAGAGGGCACTCTGTTGGAGAAGCCTGTTTGAAGGTGTCCGAGGAAGTTTACAACTTTAGAAACGAAAAGTATGAAAAGCATAAGAAAACAGCAAGCAGGCTTGTCACCATGTCTGCTTTGGGTGAGGATGACATTGAGCCCTGTTTTCCTCATCCTTCCTTGAAATTTCACTTTGTATGTTTTAGTATAATTGAAAATGTGTCCCTTCTCTTTGATGATGGAAAAGCTAATGTTCTGATCCCTCCATGAAGTAAAATGTCTGTAGGCCATTTTAGCTTAGGTGGCTAATATGAAATTCTGCGTTGGGGTTTTTCATACTTTTTTTTTTAAGTGAAATGATAGCACTGTGGGCGAGAATAGAGAAAGGTATCTAATGGTGCCTCAATGGCTCGGTATGTTCCCTCATGTGCCATTTCCCCTCATGGATCTCTGCCGCATCCCCATGAAGGACAATGAAGCCTTGAACTTTCATCTACAGAATGGGACAGTTCACCCGCCAGGATTTGAGGCCGTTTCCGCAATTTAATTCATTCCCAGCGCTAGAATGGTCCTTAACAAGAACGGCATATTTTAACTTTAACTTTTTCCAGCTTTCCATTGTTAAAGAAAGCGTAGGAGTTCTTTATGAGGCGGTCAGCAGCCACCTTCTGAGCAGGAACCTGCGAGGAGTTGGGAAGCCATGTTTGATAGAACGCTTCACAGAAATGGCTGGTGATGATATTCAAAACATTGCTCAGACGAAATCCAGAGCTCATTAAAAAGGGGGCATTATGCTTGGGAGGCAAGCCCAAGGCAGCCTCAGGTTTGATTAGGACTACCTTGTGCTCTGATATAAGTGAAATCTCTTAATTTTCCAAAAGAATATGGGGCCGGCCTGATCTGTGGAAATTTAATTGGGAACGCCTGGAGAACAGGACACGAATCGTCTTTGGGAATGTCCAGAAGGCATAGTGTCTACAAGATGGATCCAGATACGTGAGTGGTTAGGAGGAAAAACTGAGACGTCAGATGGTCTTCATAATGCTTCCCCTCCTGAGTGCCTGTGGAAGCATTGATGAAGCCTGTAAGCAGTTGCCAAGGCCTGGAAATCTATTGTATATTTCATCTTATACCCTGTGATGGTAAAAATAGTAAAAAAAGAAAAAAGCTCAATGTAGGAGCATCCCGACCCCCACCTTGCCTTAGAGATTTCCTCATAAAAACCTGCACTTTAGTGCTCAGTCGGCTCCATGGATTGCTGTTTGCTCTGAAGGAGCTCAAAAGAGTGGGTTTTCTTGAAGAAAGCTCCAGAGCAAAAATAGAAGGAGGTTTAAATTGGGGACCGTGCCTAGAAAGAGCGGATGGAAGGTAAGTGCAGATAAGCCCCATATTCAACCAATTTCACTGGTCACTAAGGGCGGTATGATTGTCAGACTGATGATTATCGGCTTATGGTAACTCGGGGGCAGGCTTTCTCACTGTGGCACCAGTGTTGTGAAAGGCTCTCCCTGCCAAAATATGAGAAGCCCCATCAGTACTGGCATGCTGCCGGCTCCTGAAGGCACACCTGTTTAGGCAACCATTCCCCTAAACTGGACTTTTGGTTTTGTTCTTTTAACCTTTGAAAGCGGTTTTAATTGTTATGCTTTTTGATTCTTTGTTTCATTGCCTTAATTAGGGATGTTTTAATGCCACTGTGTATTTTAATGGTGAATTGCTTTTATAGATCTCTTAGAAGCTGTTTTCACATTTGTTATTATTATTAGTAGTAATACTAATACCTCGGGTTAAGTACTTAATTCGTTCTGGAGGTCCGTTCTTAACCTGAAACTGTTCTTAACCTGAAGCACCACTTTAGCTAATGGGGCCTCCTGCTGCCGCCACGCCACTGGAACACAATTTCTGTCCTCATCCTGAAGCAAAGTTCTTAACCTGAGGTAATATTTCTGGGTTAGCGGAGTCTGTAACCTGAAGCGTCTGTATCCCGAGGTACCACTGTAGTAGTAGTAGTATACTGTCCTATACCCATAGATCTCAGGGTGGTTCACATCACAAAATCACAATATAAAAAACACAAAATGCATAATAAAAACAAAGACAACCCAATGATCCCCCCCCCCACAACACACTTTAAAAGGGCACTGGTGTCAATCAGCCAAAGGCCTGGTTAAAGAGGAACGCTTCTGCCTGGCGCCTAAAGGTGTATAATGAAGGCGCTTGGCGAACTTCCCTGGGGAGAGCATTCCACAAACAGGGAGCCACTGCAGTATATAAATAAAATAATAATGACTTCCAACTTAAGTCTAACACATTAGCCAGCCATTCAGGCACTTTCCAACCTTGTTCTAGGTCCATGAGTTTTGCCATGTACTAGACGCGGGTGGCCAGTAGGGATAACGGGGGAGGAGGAGGAGGAGGAGGAGTGCTGTTGAGATGGCTAATTGAATTAGGAAATGGATCTCGAGAGAATTAACTGGGTAATGAAATTCAGAACTTGACTTCTAGGTCAAGAGATTGAATCCGCATCAGGTTTGTAATGATTTCCAGTCACCGCATGCTCTCGGCCTGCCGCTGAGATTGGCCAAACCGAACAAGTGAGCGTCCAGAACTGCAGGTGTCGAGACTAATGCAGGGAATGTGCCAGTAAATAGATCAATGAGAGCTGGTATCACAGTGATGAATAAAAGAGAGAACCAATATTGCAACATCAGCATGGGAGGGACGGGCCTGGGCGTTTCAACAAGTTCCAGGTCTTAAAACTGAGGAGTCGGAGGGGAAAGGACTACGGATCCCATCGTCTCTAACCATTGGCCATGCCGGCAGGCTGATGGGAGTTGGAGTCCATCAACATCTGGAGGGCCATGGGAAAACCCTCCCCTCCTTCTCTGTTGACCATCTCAAGACTCACGAATTATGCCCCAAACTCAGAAAGCCAGTTGCGTTTCTTGTCCCATTGAATGTGAGTCACGACCAAACTTGGATCCTGTTCATTTTAATGAGGCGTAAGCAGGACAAGCCTTTTCTAGCTTTGGGTGCCAGACAGTTTTTTCCCTTTCATCTTTTCCTCCCACATGCAAGACATCTCATTTCAGGCCCAGGTAGATCATAACTGTGAGACACTTCGCTTAGTCATTGGGAATCAAAGACTATCCAGGGACCCTCGTTTTTCTTTCTCATGCCTCTCCACGACTTGGGGAGAAACGTTCACCTTTTAGAATGGAAAAAATCACCTGCTCTTATTTTTTATTTTTATCAATCTCTGTATCCTTGGCCATGTGCAAAAGCAAAGCCCTCCCTCCCCGCCAGGTTTATTCAGTTAGGTGTGTGAGGCTTATGAAAGCAGAACATGATACCAAATTTCCAACACTTGCAGTCTGGGGGGGTTGCCATTCAGTGTTAACCTTTTTAATATTCTGCAGGCTAATTGTCTGTCCATTCCTCCTTTCCCCCCCTCCCAGGTTAATGAGGTGGTTAAGAAGGGAGGAGAGAGAGAGAGGGGGGGAAGGCTCCCCGATAGCATTGCCAAGCAAACGGAAAAGGTCAGGGTAATACATTCTATTATCATCTCTCATAGGCGGCACAAAGGCGTCCCAGATTTGGCATTGCCTCGTGATGGATTGTAACAAGAAAAAGGCTCGCTGTTAAATCTGCTCTTTGTGACAATAATTGTTGCAAAAAGAGAGAGAGAGAAAGAAATGTTAAAAAAGAAAAGAAAAGGGGCACCTGGAAGAATGCAGACCCACCCTTCTCGGCTGGTCAGAAGATTAAAAGAAGGCCATGGCCTAGAGGAGATTGCCAGGTGCTATTCTTGAAGAACAGCAAGGGCAGATCTGCGCATTTCTGAATTTGTCCTTTGATTGTAATTACTGCATGGTGGTATTTTCATCCTCTGGGTTTCTTTTCCTTCTCTGCCTCGCTCTGTTGCCCTTAGGCAAATCATTTAACTTCTCAGTGGGTACCACCTTCCCACCACTGCCTTTATATAATTTAATCTTGCCGCACACTTGGTTTCTTCAACATTCGAGGAGGCCAGGCATTTTCCATAGGAAGCCCTCAAAAAGTTGTTTCCGTTGTCTTGGAAAAAAATAATTGTCCTCTGGTTTATTTTTGGCCCTCTACAAAAGTATCTGGAGAGGGATCTTTGCCAGATATGGTCCCTCACTACTTTGCTTCAGAGTGTTTGTGTGAGGATTTGTTGCAAAGTAGGCCCCAATGCGGGTTCCATGCTTTGGGGAGGCCTCAGTGGGGGCTGGTTCAATAGGGTGAGAAGAGAAGACTCCCTGGAAAAGACCCTGATGTTGGGAAAGATGGAGGTCACAAGGAGAAGGGGACGACAGAGGACGAGATGGTTGGACAGTGTTCTTGAAGCTACGAACATGAATTTGACTAAACTATGGGAGGCAGTGGAAGACAGAAGTGCCTGGCGTGCTGTGGTCCATGGGGTCACGAAGAGTCAGACACGACTAAACGACTAAACAACAACAACAACATTTTACGGGACCTGAGTACTTGAAACCTTGGCAAACCTTGTAGAATGGAGCACAGGCCAGGTCCTTTGCTTACTGGACTATTTTGGAGTGCGGTTTATTTATTTTGAAAAAGCAAACGTTCCAGTGAGCACCAGTCCAAAGTATTTAAGAGGTCACACACACCCATCTATTTATTGGGCATGTTGTCAATATACATATAAGGCAAGTCTTGCAAAGGGTTCCACTGGTGACACCAAATAAATCAGCCAACAGCGCAATCCTCTGCAGGCCTACTCAGAAAAAACCCTATTGGAATGCAATAGGGTTTACTTTTAGGTTAAGTGTACAGGATACCTGCCAATATCCCATGTATCAAAATTGGGATGTTTCAGCTGGTTCAGCTAAAGGGACTGGTAAAAATGTTTTTGCCAACCCTGAAGGCAGCACTGGGGCAATTTCACACAGATCTCCAGACCCTCCAAATCTCCCTATTTTCCAGGGACAGCCCCCAGTTTTACAGAAGCTGCCCCAGTTTCTGGTTTGATCCCAGATTGTCCCACTTTTCTTTAGGACGTCTCTATTTTTATTGGCTAAATGTTGGGGGGTATGGAATTGGATGTCCCTATTTTCATCAGAGGAATGTTGGAGGGTATGGATCCCTAGGAAGAGATGTTCAGGGCCAGCTCTGCCATTAGACAGAGTGAGGCATTGGCTGCATTGGGCAGCATATTCTGGGGACCAGAGAGCAAGGCATTAGGGCAAGGGTTCGCCAGCTCCTGAGGCGAACACTGAGGGATAATGGGAGTTGTAGTCCAATAACCTATGGAGGCCACCATGTTGGCTTTCCCTGCATTAGAGGATAAGGCCTGATCTAGCCTGTTGTCCTCGGATGCAGTGGAGAAAGCTATCCTATCACCATGGTTGAAGTGAGACTCTAATACTGGTTGGATCTTATACATAGATTTGGAAGGAGGGCTCCATCTTGCCCTTTGCTCCAGGTGGCCAAAGGTCTCCAGCCAGCCCTGGGCAACTTTGTTCTTAAGCTGCATGACAAAGGAAGTGCCATGAGACCCTTGCGGTCCAGCATCAGAGAGTTTTATTTTCCGAACCTGGTGCTTTAAGCAAGCTGGAAAAAATTAGAAGGCAATTTTTAATGACACTTGTGGCATCCGCCTTCCTATTTACCTTGCATGCCTTCATCAGAAAGGAACGTGTGTCAGCCTGTTGGGAACCCCCCCCCCAAAAAACCCCCACACAATTACCTGTTCCGCCATTGTGCCCCATCTCAGAGTCCACACCACCTTGGATTATGCAGAAAACATTTGATCAATTTTTGATTCCATCACACAATCTCTTTGAGTCGCAGTTGCATAATTCAAGCTGTTATCGTGCTGGTGGGTTCGTGTGGCTTTTATTTTATTTTTCTGCATGCATTTTGATTTAGGAACTTACGAAAACCTTGCTGGGTTTTAGGAGGCAATATATTCCATGGGTGGGTGGTGAGAAAGCCACAGGTATCTGGAGGAGGAAGCCAACCACGCTAGCCAAAGCTTGATCAGGATGCAGTCGATGGCAAAAGAAAGAAGCCACACATGTGAATAGTCTGAAAGAAGTGCTGGGTTCACACACAAGTTATGTAAATGATAGCACTTTGGGTTATGGCGGGTCTCTATAAATATATTCTTTTAAAACAGCAACAACTAAATTTCAAGTTTTACCTAAAAAATAAAGGAAACTGAGGCTCTCTTTTGGGAGAGAGTTCTCTTTGCAAACCTGTTCCTGACCTCACCCGACTCCCTGCCCTGCACCCAGCTTCAGCTACTACGGACTGCCTCCTCATTGCACCTTTGACCATGGACCGGACTTGGACCTCGCCTCTCGGGTAACCCACGGGACCAGCACACCCTTTGCCCTTCGTTTTGACAGCTGGGGGGAGGCTTGGGAGTCACGGGCGTGCGGCGTGCCAAATGTCTGCCATGGGCGGCTTGCTCTGCCCCCGGCTGCAGGGCGTGCGCTCCACTCCGTGCATCCAAGTGGCTATCCTGCACCTGGGAGGGCACCCTCCGTCTCCCTCCCCCCTCGGGAGCGTGCCTGCCCTGGGCAGCACGGGGCATAGGCTCAGCCACAGTCTCCCAGCCCTGCTGGAAGATGCCAGGTATAAAACCTGGGACCTTTGGAATGGAAAGCAGTTGCTCTACCACTGAGCTGCGTCCGTCCCCCAAAACCTCGCACGTGGAAAGCCCCTCCTTACGTTCCCATGCTTTGCTTAACTCTGGATTACAAAAGACCTCTTGCAAGACCTGGCTGGTTGCGTTATATGCCTAACGCAAGGGGATGTTGCAGCGATCCAAATTCCCCACCAGGTTTGGATAAACAAGCCCATTCTGCATAAGAATCCAGTCAAGCATCCCATGAACGTTTTTATTCCTGTCAGATGAGACTAATGAAGTGCAGGAGCTTGTTGCTAAAAGATGAGCCTTACGGAGAGGACACCTCATTAATTTGAAGACCGGCCTTTGTTGTCCCAGCTGTCAGACTCCTGCTATATTAATGTCCTCTCTTGCCATCTCTGGTGCAGGATGGGGGCCTCTT